CACAATATAGGGCACTTGACCCTATGGTCCCCAATTCCCCATGTTATCGGCAATTGGTGTTTTCAGATCTTGGTCCTTGTGTTCCAAATGGAACAATCCAAGAAGAACCCATGGATGGGGTGAGGTAGAATAGCTTTACTGAGGAAAGGGGAGTCACCTGTTCTGCTAGGTGAGGGAAGAAAAGAAGAAGGGCCAGGGACTCTCGGTAGGTCATTTTTATACCACCTCGAACTTGGAGGTGGGAAGACATTATGTCATCACCTGGCTCCTCTTACTGTGGGTTAGAGGGAGGAGCCCTTGAGCCAAGAGGGGGAGCAGTCCCAGACTAACCTAGCTTGCCTCCTCATTAACACTGGAGTCCAACACCTCTGGACTCTCTGCCATGCACCTCTTTTTAGCAGAGAATTATCAACAGTCAGTTCTTAGTCTGTTTTGTTTCTGTAACAGAATAACTGAGATTGGATAATTTATAAAGAAAAGAGGTTTTCCATTCTTGTAGGCTAGGAAGCTCAAGATTGGGCAGACATGTCTGTTTGGCTTCTAGTGAGGACCTCATGCTGATTTAACTCCTGACAGAAAGCAGAAAAGCAAGCGGGCAAGTGCTGAAAAGACAAGACACTAGGATAACCTTGCTTTACAACAATCCCTTCTTGCTATAACTAATCCAGTCCCACCGGAGTGAGAACTGATGGCAGAAAGACATTCATCCATTTGTGACTCTATCCCTGTGACCCAAACACCTGCTACTAGGCCCCACCTCCCAACACTGCTGCATTGGAAATCAAGCCTTGACATGAGTTTTGAAGGGGATAATCTCTATTTGAACCACAGTACCAGTGTGGCAGGGGCAACTGTAGCATAAACCAGTGCTCGGTACTGGCTTTGGTCATAAGTACCCTGGGGCTCGAGCTGACCAACACCACCTATCCCCACAACTCCATGTTCTCCCAGCTGGGTCCTGCAACTCTTAGTTGTGACTTGTCCACAGGCACAGTCCCTCCTATAGATGTCTCAACATATATGCCAGAAGTAGGGGAAAGAAGTGATTTGGACACTCAAATGGAAGACAGGGTGTATGGTGGTAGATATCAACCCTGGTGGCTTGTCCTGAGTCTGAGGAAGGGTGGTGAGGGAAGTCCCATCACAGCTACTCAGAATCCTGTGGACTTTTTTTTTTTAAAGTTACTATTTTATTAGTATGTAATAGTTGTACAGAGAGATACATTGTGATATTTACATACCTGCTTACATCTTAGATTTACCCCATCATTGTTCTCCCTCTTCCCCTCTTCTTAGTCCTGTGGACTCTTACACGGGGAGGCAGAAACCATTAAGGCAGGGTGAGGAGAGGTTTTCTAGACGTACATCTCAGGCTGGGATCCCTGTTCTAGGCTCAGTGGGGCTTCTCTCTTCCTAACTTGGAACCTCTTAGAAGGTACCGTCCCTCTTGGAAGCCCACCCATTCCAGCCTCCAAAGCCCCATACAGTTGATCTTTTTTTTTCATTTGCTGTTTTTGACCAAGGCCATTTCCTCGTAAGTTCCCACAGGAAAGATGTTTGGGAGTGGATAAGACTGTAAGCACTATGTTGGGAAAGAATCTAGGGGAGGGAGGAATTTGCCTGAGTACAGATGGGGCCACCTGAGCAGAAAACTGTGGGGGGAGGGGAGCGGGGGGAGGGTCAGACTGGTTCCCTAGTCCCTTCTGTTGACCTGGATACACTCCAGGGGCAACACCGGCCACTGCAGTGGCACAGGCAGTGGAAAAGTACTCAATTGGTTATAGACTAGTCATCCATCCTCTTCAATGCTGGGATCCCAAAACCTGCACAATCCCCCTAGATAACCTTCCCTATCCCAATCCCAGCTCCCTTCTGCCTGCCTCCTGGAAACCTCCATCTGCATGTGCCACTCTTAGCAGAGCACATCATTCCCTCCTAAATATGTTCTTCTCAGTTAGCAAAATGCTTATGAATCCAGTGGTCCAAACAGGAAGCCTGGGCATCAACTTTTCTCTTTCTCTCCTTCCCCTACATTCACTTCCTGGTGGTTCTAAATCCTCCTGGCTCTTGAATCCTTCCATTTCTATCTACAATTCCACCACCTTGGTCTGGGCCAGTGCTATTTCTCCTGGACCTGCATAGCTTGCTTATTGGATTCCCCACATCCTCTTCTGCCTCCTCCTCTGCAGCCACCAACATCTCTCAAAATTGCGTATCTGTTGACATCTCCTATCTCAACCCCTTCAAGTGGCTTCCTATTGCTCTGTCACATTCCTTAACATGTTCAGCTGTTGTCCCCCACGTGTACTTCATGTTCCAGACACTCACTTTCCTTCAATTCCTGAACTCACCTTGTCTCTGAGGCTTTGCAAATAGTTTCTTTTCTGGAGCTCCCCTGCCCCTCAACCCTGTATATTAACAAATTGTTTCAGGTCTTACCTGCCCTGGGAGGGAATCCTTTGCTGATTCCAAAAGTCTGAGCTGAATACTCTGCTGGGAACTTCCAAAATGCTCTTGAACTGCCCCTACACGGCACTTTTTTTTTTTTGCAATACTGGGGTTTGAACTCAGGGCCTACACCTTAAGCCACCCACCAGCCCTTTCGTCAAGGATTTTTTTCAAGATAGGGCCTCATGAGTAATGATGAATTTGTAATCAGATACCTGTTGGGTTGGAGTTTTACTAGATGGGTATGATGAAAAGATTCACAGTCAAGTTAAATGGCAGTGGATGGGGACGTTGGACAAGGGAGGGAGAAAAAGAGATGGACTAGGGGAAACCAGTGTTAGACCAGAGGTCCCAGTGAGTTTGAAGCAGCAGCAAGACAGAAGGGAAGTAACAGTCAGATGCAGAGTGCTTGAATAAATGAGTCTGGAGGTAGGAGGGATCTGGGTGATGACAAAATCGAAGATAAGGTGAGAAGGAGGAAGTCACTGAAAAAAAGTTCAGGGTGTTATGGGACTGAAGTGGAGAGCAAGAGGGAGTCAGGGGCTAATGCAATTGAATTTTTCTTTTCCCCCCCAGTACTGGGGCTTGAACTCAGGGCTTTCACCTTGAGCCACTCCACCCAGTCCTAATTTTGTGAAGGGTTTTTCAAGAACTATTTGTCTGGGCTGGCTATGAACCTCAATCCTCCTGAACTCTGCCTCCTGAGTAGCTAGGATTATAGGTGTGAGCCACCAGCACCCAGCCACTTGAATAAAGAGGGGGTTAGAAATGATTAGGTAAATAGTTTGGCTAAGAAACAGAAAATGCCAAAATTAATCGGGGGGTAGGTCCACTAGAGAAGCATGCCTTGCCTTTAATTCCAGCTACTGGGCGTGCAGAAGCCGGAGGATCCAAGTTCAAGGCCAATCTGGGTAAAGGTGGTGATGCACTCTCTCAAAAATGAAATACAAAAAGGGCTAGAAGGTGTGGCCCAAGTGGAAGAGTGCTTGTCTAGCTTGAGGTCTTGGGTTTAATCCAGAATACCAAAACACACACTTGGAAACTGTATACATCATCTTTTCCACCAAGCAGAATCTAGTCACACCTGGAAAGGAAGTTAGAAGATGCTGTAGTTACTGTGTGGTTCTAGGGATTGAATTCAGGGCCTAGCACATGCTAGGGCAAAAAGCTCTACCACTTGAACCACACCCCTAGCCCTTTTTTGAGAAGGGAGTCTCACTATCTTTGCTCAGGCTGGCCTCCAACTCACAATCCTCCTAACTCTACCTATCAAGTAGCTGGGATTACAGATATGGCCCACCATGTTCTGCTTGCTGTTTTAATTTTGAGCAGCCCAACCTGTTAAAATTCTGGAGGTTCTATTTCTAGAGGGGGAAATCAGATATTGGAGAACCAAATGACAATGTCTTCCATGAGGAGAAGTGGGCAAGTCAGAACTAAGGGGGTGAAAGGTGTATCGAATGATTAAGCCTCAAGTAGGCAAGGTGTTCTTTGAAGGGGTGGAGAAAAGTTGGTAGCTGTATAGGGAGGACCCCAACCCCAGCCTTCAGCTCCCCAACCTGATGAAGATAAAGTATGAGGTTGGAGAATAAAAGCTACTACTTGGAAGAATGCTGCAGTGGTTTTCAGACAGCTAGTTTCCCAAGAAGCTGATAGGAGCCTTGGATAGGGGAAGACGGGAGTTGGGTTAGGGGCAAGGAAGGACAGGCTTGTGTGGCTATTGGCTGAGAACAGCAATGAGAAGCCCAGGAGTCTCTTCAAAAGTCTGAGAAGGGTAGATTTTGCTTAGCCAAGAACCAACCAAAAACCACCTCCAAAAATTTAAACTGAGCTATCTGGCCAACCAGCAAGCTACCTCTTATCATCTTTGTATTTTTTTTGTGGTACTGGGGTTTGAACTCAGCGTCCACACTGTAAGCCACTGCATCAGCCCCTTTTTGTGATGGGTTTTTTTCAAGATAGGGTCTCGAGAACTATTTGCCTGGGCCGGCTTCAAACCACGGTCCTCCTGATCATCTCTGCCTGAGTAGCTAGGACTATAGGCCTGGCCATCTTTGTACTTTTGCATTAAGCTCTTAGAAAACTTGACATCTAAGCTGATACACGGCATATTTGAGATTAAAAGTTTAGCTGGGTGTCAGCAGCTCATGCCTGTAATCCAAGCTACACAGGAGGTAGAGATCAGGAGGATGGCAGTTTAAAGCCAGCCAAGGCAAATAGTTCATGAGACCCTATCTCAAAAATACCCAACACAAAAAAAAACAGGTCTGGTGGAGTGGCTCTGGTAGACTGCTTACCTAACAAGTGCGAGGCCCTGACTTCAAACCCAGTGCTGCCAAAAAAGAAAAAAAAAAAAAAAAAAAATATATATATATATATATATATATATATATAAAATGTAAACTTAAATAAATATACATTCCTTCTAGCACTGGAAGGGAATGTCAAAACTCATCCTCAGGAGTACCATACTGCTTAAGGCAGGTCACTGTGCAAAGCAATGAGAAAAAGGATTTGAGTTATTTTCTACACATACTTTTTTGTGTGTGGGGCTTGGGATGGAACCCAGGGCTTCATGCATGGCAGACAAGAGCTCTGAGACATACGTCAGTCCCACAGCTACAGCTTTTAACCTTTCATTATCCATCTATTCTCAGGGTGCTCCATCCTCACCCCCAGACCCTGATGCCCCCAGAGATTTAAGATTCTAGGTTTCATTTTCAGGGGAACTTCTTTAATCAACATGTGCAACTTTGAAGGGGGCCAACTGACTCCAGTTGTACAATACAAAAGTCATGAGGAAGTGACCTCTACACAATCTGTGTAAGCAAAGGAAGCAAGGGAAGATGGAAGACAGCTGCTAGCAAGAACAGCTGCTTCCAGGAAGTGTGACCACAGGATGGTGGAAAGCAGATGTAGCCTTGTGAGCACAGCCCTTGGCTGTCCCTTACAAGTTATCTGACCCCAAGCAATTCGGTTGACCTTAATCCTTCCTTTGTTAAAAAAGGGAGAGGAGAGAGCTATCAAGCACCTTTCTGAATATGTGTGTTAATTCACATACATGTAAAATGCCCAGCACCTGCTTGGCTTGGTGGTATTACATTCAGCTATCATCTTAAATTTTATTAGAACATAAACTCCACACAGGCAGTGCCACTGCTTGACAACACACTAATCAAAAAACATTAATGGAATGAATAAAGAGGCAATACCCCAATAAGCTCAGGTCAGTCCTAGAGAGGAGGCTGCCAGCTAGCAGCAAGGCAGGTGCAAAGATAGGAGAAACAGTATTAGGAATATTTGGATCCAGGCCAGCCGAGAGACACAGCCTGAGATCCTGTCAGAGAAGCTTCTGAGAGAAACAGTGCCTCATACCTACCACAGCACATTTGAAAAGCAAGTTAAAAAGCTTTTCTGTTTTTAGATGAGAACAGTGAGGTCAGGAAGGGCTGACTTACACATGCTGTCCCCAGACCTGAAATCCCATTGAGAAAGAGGGACATAATGCTGAGTGAGTGAATATCTATAATCCCAGCACTTGGGAAACTAAAGTAGGAGAATTGAGAATTTGAGGCCAGTCTGGGATCTATAGTGGGACATACCTCAAAAACAAAACAAAAAAAGAGGGAAGGAGGACCTAAAACATCCCTCAGAGCCCAGATGAGGAAAAATGAAGCACAAAGTGGTAATCACTGGGGAAATAAAGTGGGGTCAAGAACCAACCCCCACCAACTTTGCCTGATCAGCTTTTTTCTCCAAGCAACAGGCTGTTTCCTGGACACAAAGAAAGCAAACCATGTTAGGACAGAAGAACTGAGAACAGTTCCAGTTGTGCAAGGCTAAAATGGGCAGATGAGCAAAGCAACAAAACTGTTTTTGGCATTTTGCTCCTTGTCTGTCCAAGATGCTTTTAATTATGTGGGCCACTCCTAAAGGCAATGGAAGAGAGGGCAGTAGACACTTGGAGGACAAGCTATGGGCTAGGGTCACCTCAAAGCCTGTTTAGCAGTGTTCCTTCCTGGTCCAGTCCCGGGCATTGATGAAGAGCTGCAGCCAGGGGGAGGTGGTGAGAGTGTTGAATGGAGGAGGTCGCCACGCCCACTGCCAAGGTCTCACAGCTCGCTCAGGGTGCGGCATGAGAGCCAGGTGGCGGCCATCACGGGAGCAGACACCAGCTACACCCCCTGGTGATCCATTGGGATTCATGGGGTACTGCTCTGTGGGGTTCCCATCATCATCTGCCCAATGCAGGGGAGCCATGCCCCTGGCCTCAATCTGGGCTTGAAGTTCCAGAGAAGAAAATGCCATGTAACCTGGGTGGGGAGAAGGAGAAGGGAAGTGAAAACCAAGCTCCTTCAGGCTCATCCCTCACTCCCGTCTTCGCGTCTTCCCAGACCTGACCTTCTCCATGGGCACTCCACACAGGCAGCACAGCGCCCTCCATCCCTTGCAGCATCAAAGCTGGACTGGGCCCCACACGCACACTGGCCCACCGAGACTCAAAACGCCCAGACAGGTTGTGCCGCAGCAAGAGACCAGGCTGAGCTGGCCAGGAGTCATGGCCCCATTCCTCTGCCTCTTCACTGGGGTCACCTCCCACCCAGCCTAGCAGAGCCAGCAGTTGACAGCCATTACACACGCCTAGGCTGAAGGTATCTGGTCGCCTTTTGAAGCGCCTCAGCTCAGTCCTGGCCTGTGGATTAAAGGTCACAGCAGCTGCCCACCCTAGAAGGGAACACAAAGTTGGTATGAGATATGAAAGGAAGGCCTGAGAAAAGAGGAAGCCAAGAATGAAGGGGGACAGCTGCTCTTCCATCTCCGAAAGTACTCCCTTCCTATGGAGTCTAGGCAAGCTAAAGGGAAGAAATGAATGGCCTTACCTGCTTTATTTTTTAACTGTTTTCTTTTTTGGCAGAACTCAGGACCTCATGTTTGCTGGGCAAGCACTCTAACCACTTGAGGCAAGGCCCATTTTCAGATAGGGTCTGGCACTAACTTTACCAGGGCTGGCCTTGAACTGTGATCTTCCTACTTCTGCCTCCTATGTAACTGGGGTTAAGTCGTGTGCCACCAGACTCAGCTAAAATATACATTTTTTTTTAATGCACAGTAGTGGGGTTTGAACTCAGGACTCAGGGCCTTGCACTCTAACTACTTGAGTCACCCCTGGCCCTCCTTTATCTTGCTTTAATTAGTTGATGATAATCTCCGCCAGAGGTGGCCCGTAATTTTCCTTTTGCTTGGTCAGCAGGACATTAAAAAACAAAAAACAACTTTATTTAGTTGCTTAACATTTAAAAATAAGATTTCCAAAATATAAGATAAAACACACAGAAAAAAATTTTGGCTACGGATGTACCACAGTGGTACATCCTTGCCTGGCATGCAAGGCCCTGGTTCAATCACCATACAAAAAACCCACACAACTCGATGCTGGCTTCTTTTGAAACACTGAATGACCTGGCCTTAGCTGGGTGTAGTGATACATGCCTGTAATTCTAGCACTCAGGAGGCTGAGGCAGGAGGATAGAGAGTTCAAGGTAACCTAAGCTGCATAATGAGGCCTTGCCTCAAAACCCCACAAAGATCTGGCTATACTGATCCATGTCCTCTTTCCAGCAGGACAATCTGCTTAAGTTGGATGGATAGCAGCTGCAACTTTTTTTTTTTTTTTTTTGGCAGAACTGGGTTTTGAACTCAGGGATTCATGAATGTGAGGCAGTATGTTGAGTTTTTTGAGATAGGGTTTCAAACTGTTTGCCTGGGCTGGCCTCAAACTGTGATCCTCCTGACCTCTGCCTCCCGAGTAGCCAGGATTACAGGCATGAACCACTGGGCAGCTGTCACTTTAAATAGGACATGTGTTCTCCAGGTTGGCACAGCCATACCCAGACCACCTGCTTCACTTTAATTAGTTTTGTAGAGGTGACAAGCCAACCCCGACTTCCCAGCCCAGGAAGAAGGGAACAAAGGCACCTCCTCAGGAATGTGATGAGGGAGCAAACAGAAGTTTGCACACTGACCTTTGGCAGAGCCCAGGACGTCTGCGTAGCTAAAGCCACCCACAAAAGCCACACCGATGAATGTGTCCAGCCCAATGGCCCCAGAGCAGAGGTCCTGCATGGTCACATCCCACACCTAACAGATGGAGAAGAGAAATGTCAGAGGATATACAGTCCAAGACTAGATCAAGGACCTCAGATCTGCCAGTCACCCTACTCACCTCAAACCCAGCCAAGTGGAAGGCGTCAACCATCTCCCGGTCTCCATTACTGCCTTCTTCTCGCAAGACTGCAATTCGGGGGGTGGGACCACCTAGAAGAGGACGTGTCTCTGCATTACCTCTGCACCCCAACTTCCCAGGCACCTTTTCCAGAGCAGGCCCAGGTCTCATGCTCTGCGCGCCCAGGCCAATGCACTCAGGAAGCCAAGCCTCAGCACATACTCCCTCACCTGGCTCCCTAGGCACAGAGGTGGTGGGAAAGGTAGCGGGCAGGTGGTAGCTGGGCCTGATCCGCTCCCTCAGGCCCCGCTCCTCCTCTGCCACACAACGAGGCTCTGCCTGCAGTCGATCCAGCTGGAAACTCGTCTCCTCCCAAAGGGCTCGTAGCTCTGCGACTGTCTCCTCCACAACCACTGCCCCATTTACTGACACCCGGATCTGGTAAGGGGAAAATCTATCAAAGGCTAAGAGGAAGGATATCCCCTCTATAAGTGGTAGAGTGGCCCATGGCTTCCTAATTCTGTCCATGAGTACTGTTCTTTCCCTGGCTTCCTCACCATGGCATGGGGTCCAGTCTCGCCTGTGCGGCCCAGCTCCAGGCAGTGCAGGCCAGCATACCGGTACCGCTGCAGCACTCCAGCCAGGTCTGGCTCCTGTACTTCCAGCACAAGGCCTGGCTCCTCGGCAAACAGCACTGGCAGCACTGAGAGAGCAATGGGAGTTGAGTCAGATGACTAGGGTGCTGCCAAGGACTCAGGGGTGGGGTGAAGGATGAGAGGAAAGGATTGATAAAGTTGTGCCAAGGACTGTGAGAGGTTTCAGTGGGTGCCATCAGATTCAGAGATCAGAAGACAGCACAGAAGAGACAGTTGAGGAAGATGCAGGGAAAATGGATCAAGACACTCAATTCTTTACCAGGAGATGGGGTCTGCAGGGTAGGGAAGGCAGCCCAGGCCTGAGGCTAAACCCTGAGTTCCTCACCATCAGCCCCTGGGGCAGACACATCCACCTCTATACCACAATTCCCAGCAAAGGCCATCTCTAGTAGGCAGGTGACAAGGCCTCCATCACTGACATCATGGCCTGAGCAGAGACAGCGGTCTGGAGGAGAGAGAAAAAGCTCAGCAATCTTGCACCAAGTCTGATGGCTCTATCTGTGCCTGGACAGCAGGTGATGCATGTGAGAGAGCGATCATACACAGAACCAGAGGAGGGCCTGAGTTCCTTTTGCGTCACGCTCACTTGCTCAGCTTGTAAGTACCTGCCAAGTGACTGCCACTGCATACACCAGGTCTTCACTCACCTTTCAGCAGCCCCTGGGTGATGCTGAAGGCACGCACCAGGTTCTCAGGAAGGTCCAGATTGGGAGGCTGCTCCCCAAGTTGGGAGAAGCACTGGGCCAGGGCTGTGCCCCCCAGGCGGTGCTGCCCAGGGCTGAGAGGCACATAGAGCAGATGACCTGGGGAGATGGGGTGGGGTGAGGGGAGATGGACTGCTCAAGAGAACCCCTCCCTGAAGTGCCCATAGCCTTGCTATTCCTAGCATGCGGTGAGATACCCCAGACCACCAGTCCCACAAAGCAACACCCCAGTGCTGAGATGAAGGAACCTAGGACTCACAAACAGACCCCAAACAAAGGACCAAACTCAGAATACACAATGCAGGGAGAAGAGGAAAAATACATACCTTTTCCTCCAGGATGCTTGAGGTCTGGGGTCACAGTGGCTGTGATGTCTGGACAAACAGCATAGGCTGAGATGACCAGTGACCCTGCAGAGTGCAAATTAAAACTGAATGATTTGGTGTGTGATCAAGCTATATATAAAGAAAAAAAAAAGACTGACTGAGAAGCAGGTTCTCTCCTGTAGCCCCAGCCTCACCAGGAGCCCGAACGGTCTCAGTGCCAACCCGGGCAGCCATGCTGAGGGAGTCCTTGCCACCATCCACTGCCACACCCAGGGCAGCCATCACTTCCACCATAGCATCACAGGCATCAGCCAGAGCTGCACCCTCGCCTGGGAGCTTGGCTGCCCACATCCAGTTCCCACTGCACTTCACATCCTGGAAACAGGAGACTCAGCATTAGAACAGAAGAGAAATGCAGAGGGCCCAGAGGTGCAGGAGGCCTGGGAGCTTATGAGTGTGCAATGAAGAGCAAGAGGCTTTAAGAAAACTCACCCGGAGATCGGTGACCAAAGCAAACACCAGGTTGGTGAGGGCTTCAGCCACAGCCAGCCGGGCAGCAGCCTTAGAGTCCAACAGGCTCTTGACTGGCTGCTCTCCCAGGGCTGTGGCAGCCCCAACGAGCTCCTGGTGACTCAATGCCACAACAGCCACATCAGCCAGTGGAGTCTGCAGGGGCCCTACACACTGCTGTTGGGCCACGAGGCCACCCACGGAACGGTCCACCTGTAGGCCCAAAGGAGATTGGCAAGAGGACCAAGGACAGGGAAATCATGTGTTTCCCTCCCCAAGGGACACAGGGGAGTGGGAGGCCTGGCTTTCCCAACATGCAGGCAGAAGCATGCAGAGGGCAGGCAGCAGGGAGACCAGGCCATCAGAGAGGCTACTGTGCCCTTGTCACTTCTCCCTCTCAGATCTCCCATTACTTCTCCCCCTCATACCTGGGGGACAACCCCCAACACACAGTTCCTAAGGGCAGAAGGCCAGGGGGCACGAATAGGGGGAAAGATGTGGAGGGCTGAAGGGTCCAAGTGAGGGTGCAGAGAGGACCTTATTGGTGAGGTAGCGCTTGCTGGCCACAGCAGGCAGCCTCAGAACCCGTTCAAGTGCTTGGCGTACGCTCAGACCAGGGGGCAAGGCCAGAGGCTGCAGCACAGGAGACTCCCTCTGGAGGAAGAACTCCTGCAACAGAAACAGTAACGGGGGTGTGAGCATCCAGGGCACGATGGACACACAGGTAACAAAGCACAGGCAGGGTTAAGGGGGACCTGCAGAGAAGGCTACAGAAAAAACATATCCCACATACCTTTTGAGGCATCTTGCCCAGCACCCAGTCGAGCTCCAGGTCCACAGGGGTTGAGAGAGCATCCCCCTGGTCATTTCTTCCCACAGGACACTCACGATCATCTACCAGCACTATCTGTGGACCATAAGGAATGAGACTATGAATATAGCAGAGAATACATATAGAGATAAGAACAAACATGCTCTTTCTACTGCTTGTTTTGCTTCCTGTCAACCTTCTCCTGCCTCCTACATCTGTTCCCCACAGATTGTTTGTCTAATCTCCCATCCGCCTCTCTTCTTCTTCCCTTAGCCGCTCTGCCTCCAGCCCATGTACCTATGCAGCTTGAGCTTCCTACAGCATCAGCACCTGATTCTTGGGACCAACTCACCCTCTTGTCTCCAGTGATGGTGCCCACAAAGCAAGCTGGGCAGCGTTCCCGGGCACTGACACGACTCAGGAAGTCTCGGTGTGGGGGCCTCAGCAGAAGTGCATTTGACTCCTGGTACTCAGCCCCCCATATTTCCAGGGCATTCAGGGTTGGATCACCCAGCTACCCAGCCATGGCAGGGAAGAAAAACAGGGGTGAGTGGGCACTACCATGCCTTACATTGTTGCTAGGAATGGAGGGAAGGTAGGGAAGATCAACAGGCATAGGGAGGTGGGGAGAGCCAGGCTTCAGGGGATGAGACCCACCTGAAAACGGCTGGTATAAATGACAGCTCCCGCTGGGTCACTCAACTCCTTCAGGACGTTGCCTGGCGAGAGGATTGTACATGGTCAGCTCCAAGTAAACAAAGGGCAATCAATCCCTGATCTCCAAAGCAGCCCCTAATTCTGTGCATCTCTGCAGGAGTTGCTACTGCACCCTCACTACCAACTGTTCCATGGCAGCAGGCTCTTTTCAACTTCTCCGACCCAGAACCTGTCCAACTTGTACAGGGGGTAAAGACCTGGGCAGTTGGCTATAGATCCCCAATGTCTCACCCTAAACCAAATCTGGCAGGAGCCAAAGTAGACCCAGTCCCTTGTCACAAGCACTTCCCTCACCATTGCCACCAGCGCCTTGATCATGGAGGCTACAGATGGGGTTTCCCCCAGGGGCCTCCACACAAGCTCGAATCACACGGTTCATCTTCTGTTCCATCTCTGGGTCTCCCCGCTGCACAGCCCCAAAGTCCAGTTCACTGGTGTTGTCTCCCTGCACCTGGGGGAACATGAAACATAGCTCAGCTCAGGAGGCTGGAAGCTCTACACCCATCCCAGGGCCTGGTGACATCTTGGAGTCCACATCTTTAGCTATTCATACTCACCTGCACAGATGAAGCAGCTCCACCCCCAACTCCAATTCTGTAGACAGGACCCCCAACCTTTACAACCTCCATACCTGCAAGGAAGAGGGTAGAACTAAAATGCAGGGGAAGCCACCACACAACTGTTAAAGCAAGGCAGTGTGAAGACAGAGGAGGATGTGAGGGGAACAGAACCTTATCACTCCACTGGGCAGAAAGGAGAACAAACTGTACAACCTCTACAGAGCACAATGTAAATGCACAATGTGCATCAAATCAAATATACTAATGCACCTATTCTTTGGGAAAATACATGTCAAAGAATTTATCCTACAGAGTTATTCACCCAGGTACAAAGTCATCTATATATAAGGTTAAACACTGCAGAATTATTTGTATTAGCAAAAAAAGGAAATAACGTATGATTAATAACAGAAATGACTAAATGATGGTATATCTTGCAAACTATATGCCCAGGCTGGCTTTGAACCTGATCCTCCTTATCTCTGCATCACGAGTAGCTAGGATTACAGACGTGAGCTACCAGTGCCTGGCTCGGGATACCAATCTCTTTAAAAGAGAAGGGGAGGAAAGGGCAAAGGAAATGCAAATTCAAGCCACAATAAAAAGAAAGAAAAAAAAAAAAAGAAAAAACCACAATGAGATAAGACTTCCCACTCACAATGACACCTCTTTTCAAAAGGACAGACATTAACAAGTTAAGGATGTGGAGAAATTAGAACCTCATATACTGTTAGAAGAAATATAAAATGATAGAGCCATTTTGGAAAACAGTCTGGCAGTTTCTCAAAAAAGGTGACTTTAGTTACCATGTGATCTAGAAATTCCAATCCTAGTTCTGTACCCAAGAGAGTAAGCACATATGTTCGGACAAAGACTCGGACACAAATGTTCACAGCAGCATTATTCCTAACAGCTAAAAGAGTAGAAGCAGCCCCAAATTCCATCACTGATGAATGGAGAAACAGAATGTGGCATATTTGTTTAATGGCCCCTATTCAGTTATTAAAAAAAAAAAAAAAGTACTGATACATGCTACAATATGAATGAATCTTGAAAATATTCTAAGTGAAAGAAGCCAAACACAAAAGGCCACTATTGTATGATTCCATTTATATGAAAGTTCTAAATAGACAAATCCAAAGAAACAGAAAGTAGATTAGTGATTTCCAGGGGCTGAGGGGTGAGGAGTGATTGCTAAGATATACAGAGTTTCTTTCAGGGATGATGAAGATACTCTGCAATTAGTGATGATCAATGCAGAATATATTTATTTTATTTTTTTTATTTTGGTGGTACTGGGGTTTGAACTCAGGACCTCACACTTGCTAGGCAGTCGTTCTACCACTTGAAACACTCTGTCAGCCCTGTTTTTGTGTTGAGTATTTTCAAGATAGGGTCTCAAACTATTTGTCTGCACTGGCCTCAAGCCTCAATCCTCCTGATCTCTGTCTCTCAAATAGCTAGGATTACAGGCATGAGACACTGGTGCCCAGCTTGTGAATATATTTAAAACCACTGACATCTTGTACACTTCAAAAGTGTGAACATGAATTAATAAGGTGACTTTGAAAAAAAAATGCATGTTTTTTAAAAAGGAGCAAATATATATAGATTTTTGCAGGAAATTCCTGATAGGATACAGAAGAAACGCAGTAACTGGTTGTCTGGGGAGCAGTGGACCTGGGGACAGGGACAGAGAGTATATGATGCATAACCTTCCTTGCCTTTTGAATTTGGAGTCATGTGACTGGGTCACCTAGTCAACAAATGGGACTTTATCTTGAGTCCACTACAATTCTTAGCAATGTGCCCAGCATACAATGGCCACTCAGTAATTGTTTGCTCAATTTTATCTATCAAGCCAGCAGATGAATGTCCCTGACACATGAGGTACTGAATAAATACTGAGTGCCATGACTTGCAAGAATGTGGTCCGGAAACACGGGCATAGGGGTGAGGGCTCCAGCCATGTTCTAGTATACTGGGGAGTAGATGGGGCAACAAAGGCTGAAACTTCCCACTGAGCACAAAGTCCTGTCTTGCCTTAACAAATTATACTGGGAAGAGAGTGAAAAACTGTGAGGGAATGTCCTCCAAGTCCCCTCCTTGCTGGCTGGCTGCAGAGAAAGATGGCAAGCTCTTACCTGGCTCAGGGGGCTCCTTGCCTATATGCTGAGCTTCCATTGACCCAATGCCCCCACTAAACATGATGGGCTTGATCCACTCACGCCGCTGACCATCTGGGAGCTGGAGGCCCAAGGAGCGGGCAAAGCCTGGAATGTAGACATTAGAAGGTGAGGGAAATGGTCCTGTCCCCAGCCTAATACCTCAACCCCTGGGTAGCAAACCCCCTCCCAATTTCCTCTAGGCATAGGTGTCCAGTATCCTTCCACATTCCCAGTCTTACCAGCTAGCACTGGTTCCCCAAACTTATTGCCATAGTCAGAAGCCCCATTACTGGCCTCAATGGCAACTTCCAGGGGCCGGGCAAAGTTCCCAGGGTACTGGAAGCTTGGATCTTCCCAGGGCAGATTATAACCTGGGAGGGAAGGAAAAAGTTGAATAAACCATAGACAGAACACAGAGAATGAATCCTCAGGGAACAGTGTAAGCCACCAAGGACCACTTGTGTGGTGAAAGGTGCAGAGCCTTTAGTTGCCTAAAAATCAGGGCTTTGCACTTGCAATGCAGGTGCTCTACTGCTTGAGCCACACCTTCAGTCCTAGAGCCTGCAGTTAAGTGTTGGTCAGTTTTCTACCTCCCACATCAGACTTCCCTCTTCTCAGAATCAGATTTTCTGGTGGTGCTAGAGATCAAACCCAGGAAGAATTCTAGTGCTATAGTCTTTGCTCCTATTTCCTAGGTGGGGAGCAGGAAACATTTCTCTTTCTCTCCCCTACCTCTTTCTACTTTATCCTGTTATACTAAAATAAATCCTTGCCAGGCACCAGTGGCTCATGCCTGTAATCCTAGCTACTTAGGAGGGAGAGATTAGGATGGAGATTCAAAGTCAGTGGTGGTGGTGGTGGGGTAGAGAAAGAGGGTCCCTACACAAAAATGGACTGACAGAGTGGCTCAAGTGGTAAAGCGCCTACCTAGCAAGTTTGAGGCCCTGAGTTCAAACTCCAGTATGGCCAATAATTAATAAATGAATGAATGAATGAATGAATGAATAAAATCTCAGCCCTAGGATTAGACTTCTCAAGGATTCCCAAGAAACTGGATTTTGGGGGCAAATATTGATCATAAGACAATCTGGCTGAGTGGATACTCCTCTCTAAAGAAATCATGGTCTGCAAAGCCAGTCTGGCAACCTCCATCTACCCCAGCCCATATTCCTTATGATAATGATCAGCAAAAAGGCTGCTAGTCTAGAGCCCACCCTCCTCCCTCCCATGACACTCTGATTTAAGAAATGTAAATTTGGTGCCTGCCATGACAAAGAATCTGGAAAGGAAGGTGAGTACAGGAAGGAGATGGAACCTGGGATGTGCAGGTTTCCGAAGCAATAACCAGCGGTGCCAGCCACCACATGGGCCCCGCGACCTGTGCATTGGACATCTCGGATCCGGCCCCCTGTGCCCGTGGTTGCACCACTGAAGGGGGCCACTCCTGCAAAGAGAGAGAGGAGGAGGTATGTGTGCCACAGAGACAAACCCATCCTTAACCACAACATGGAAATAAGGAAAGCCAGTGTCCCTGCTTATCCAAGGCTCTGGTAAGAGGCCTGATGCCTTGGCCCTCCCTCCCTCTGAACTCACCCGTCCCTCTCTGGAGCCTAGCTTACCTGTGGGGAAGTTGTGTGTCTCTGCTGTGAAAACAACATGTCTCAGTCTCTGTTGTTGCCGGAAGCAGCTTGGCTGTGTAGGGTCCTCAGGTTGTAGGAATTGGACTTCCTTCCCCTGGATTGCACTGTGGACACACTGATTCTGTTCCCTTCTTCCTGGGATCTATGCCAACCCAACCAGGACCTGAGGCCTCCCCTCCCCCAGGCCCAAGTCCACCTTACCACAAGGCGCAGCTGACCTGCTATTGTCACAGAACTTGAGGACATTATTGGGATTCGAGGATGCCTGGGTGCTCATGATGGACTCAAACAGGGAATGTGGTCGCTTATTCCCATCTACGTGGAGCTGGCCCTTGAAGAACCAATGTCGGCTGTGCTCGCTGAGGGTGTGAGATGGGGAGAAGAAGGCAGGATATGAACAGAGGTGATACTCCTCAGTGTCGTGTCTTTTCAACAGCAGTTACAGCCAATTCATACTTAGATAAAGAGATCAAAATACATTCCAGAAAATCATAACCATCAAGCAATCTGTCACTGTGTATTATCCAGAGCCAAAGGGAAGAAAAGACCAAGATTTGAACATAGACTCCTGGATGGACTAGAGAAACCCAGGTTCTCAAACAGACTCAGGCTCCTATAGCAAGGGAGAGCCATGAAGGCAAGTCCCTGTGATCTTCCCCTCCAAAATGCATGGACTTTGACAGCAGAACTACTCTAGTCCTACTCACCTATTGGACTGAGCTAAGTCAAAGGCCTCCACAGTGCTGGGGTTCCGCTGTAGCTCCTGGAAGCGCTTAGTGTAGAAATCCAGGTCCCAGGAGTCTAGAGCCAGACCTGGAAGACAAACCCTGGGGGAGGTGACTGTAGGCCTCAGGCCACTGTATTCCAGGTCTCAGCACTCCTGCTAGCCCATCCTGGCTCTTCTCCCTCCTCTCCCAGGAACCCCTGCTCACCTAGCTCCTGGTTGGCCTTCTCTAAAGCAGGCCGACCCTCAGCCAGTATGTTGATAGGGCCATTGAGGGAGGCTGGAATGCTTTCAGGAGAGAAGCTCTGGATAGGATGGGGGAAGTGCTGCTCTGTCATTCGGTCATGCAGGGCAGCTAGAGCAATGGCCTCCATTGTAGACAAAGGGTGGTCGGCAAACTAGAGGTAAGATATATACAGAGGGCAAGGAATAGAGAGCTGAAGAATGGAGAGAAAGGGTCTGCCTTCAGTCCTCTAAGTCATACAGTGCCAGCCCACAGCCTTCTCCTATAGTACCCCTCCACACTCCCGCCAAATGCCATGGATAAATCCCACAGCTTTGTATACACAAGCAGTCTACCACTGAGCTATAGCCCCTGGTCCCATACAATATCTTTGTTCAGACCACAAAAAAACTCCCTTTCCAGGCAAAAGTTCATGCCAGGATGCACAGATTAGTATGGGGAACACAGAACAGACTTCTGTCCCATTCACCTTCAACCAGGTACTCTAGGCAGCAAACAACCATACAGGACAGGCTCAAAGCCTTTTCCCCTGCTTCTCTCATTATCCCCCTAGAGTTCAAGGTCCTCCTGCTTCCTGATTCTCTACCGACAGCCCACTGCCTCACCGAAAGCCGGTAGCGCCGGGTAGTCTCCACACGATTCACAGCTCCCAGCCCGGAGGCCCAGCACACAGAAACGATGTTGGTGGATGCTGGGGTGGAGAAGTTCAGCCTAGGGAGTAGGCCAGATGATTATAGAGTCTGAGAGCCCTAGCAGGTCTCAGCCAGGAAAGTGGATCCTGCTCACTGCTGTCCAGCCAACCTGCTATCACAACCCCTTCACCACTGGCCTCCAGCTTCAGACTGGGCACCAAAATAAACCGGCGTTCAAAGGTCACTCAAATCAAACCATAATTGTCCTTCTAACATCAAAACTGCTGCAACTGTGACTGGGAGTGTGGCTCAAGCAGTAGAGCACTTGTTCAGCAAGTGCAAGGCCTTGAGTTCAAACCCCAGTACTATCAAAAAACAAAACAAAACAAAAGAACTTCTAAAACTGCTGCAACTGTAACTTCTCAGAATGCATGCTGTTCATTTCCAGAACACGCCTGGATGCTGGCTCAATCTTCAAAGGCATCTACCCATGGCTTCCTAGGCAGGGAATAGGATAGAGCAAAGGAAAAGCAAATCTCCCAAGGACAACAAAATGTTCCTAACACCTTGCCTGGTGACCAAGGATGTACCTGTATACCCCTCTCCTATACTACTGACTAATGCCCATTGTGTGTGGGTGTACGCACATAAAGGAGAGGAATGGAAGCAGAAGCAGTGGCCAGTAAGTGTACAAAAGGAAAGGTGTGCCTTGGAATGTGGCACAGGATGCCACAGGATGAGACACATACCTGGGCCCGACCTCCAACAGCAGATCATTGGGGCTAGGAAGGAGCCAGGACTCCTGAGCAACATCATCCAGCAACAAGGGGCAGCCAAACAGCCACATCAGCTTCTTCATCTCCTCAGCACTTGGGAGGGCCTCAGCTGTAGGGAGACAGGGCAAAGACACCTCAAGACCTGTCCCTGACACTAGGGTACCTCCTTTAAGAATTCAATACCTGAGCCTAACCTGTCCAGTCCACATTGTAGCACAGCTCTGTCTCGACACTCTGCAGCTCTGGTAGTTTCCCTTGTAGTTTCCGTAGAATATGTCCAGAGACTGCTCCCTCATGGCCAGAGGGACGAACATAAAAGTGAAGAACTGGTGCCATCTCAGCAGGTGCTCTTCCTGAAGAGGTGAGTTAGGTTCCTAAAAAATAACATTAACTGTTGAACTGGTTTCAAGTGTAAAGGATGGCCAAGACATCAGGGATGAGTAGAGGAAAATAACAGGGACATTTAAATAAACAAGGTAACCAGAAAAGGTAAACTTGGGGCATTTAACTTGCTGCAAAATGTGGGCTTTAGGGGATGGGAGAGAGGTAAAGTGTGAGCTTAGTATGTATGGGGTCATGGGCTCAATCCCCAGTGTGCATACACACACACACACACACACACACACACACACACACACAAAATGGGCATTGGTAATATAGGAGAGGGGTGTACAGGTACATCCCTGGTCACTAGGCAAGGTGTTAGCAACACCATGAACAAGTCAGAAGCCATTTCTGCCCAGGCTGTCTCAGAACTCATGACCTTCCTTCCTTAGCCTTCCAAGTATTGAGTATGCTATCATACCCAGGTAATACCCTGACTTCTTGACCACTCAAACTGCACTTTTGTACAACCACAACCCATGTTAGCATAAAAAGCATAGCTTCTCATCATACATGGTATAAAATTCCAACTCAGTGTCCTGACTCACCTGGTCTGGCCACTGCCAACCTCTCCAACCCTATCTCACCACTCTCACCCACAGTGCATCAATCACCTCAGCTTGTAACTTGCCAAGCTCAGTTCTGAAAGACTTTATTTTCACCCTGATATTTGCATGGCTAGCTCTTTCTAGTTATTTACATTTCTAGTTATTTAGTTACATAAAGGGAAATTCACCTTTATGGGAAGACCTTATTTGATCAGTCACTCCTAAGTAGCCAGTATCTTTTTTTTGGCAGCACTGGGACTTGAACTGACACTAGGCAGGTGCTCTACCACTTGAGCCACTCTGCCAGCCCTTTTTTTGTGATAGGTTTTTTTGAGACAGGGTCTCCCAAACTATTTTCCCAGCCTGGCTTTGAACCACAATCATCCTGAACTCTGCCTCCTGAGTAGCTAGGATTGCAGACATGAGCTACCAGCACCCAGCTAAGTAGTCACTCTCTGCTGGTCCTACATTGTTATATAGTACTTATCACTATCTGACTTGTTCTTTCTTTTTTTTGCTAAATATTACCCACTAGAACAAAATCTTGTGGGCATGGGCTACAGCTGCTTCATGTTCACTGAATTAGCAAAACTTTAAACAAAAATCTCGTGCTTAAAAAGCAAAACTAAATAAAGAAAACTTGTTGACCGAATGATTCCTACACTCCTCTGTCCCTCCAACCTTTCATGCCAGACTTCCTGAAATCATTGTATTAAGATCTTTGTCTTTCACTCCCAGTGAAGTATCAGCTGTAGGAATAGGGTTTGCCTACATCTGGGCTGTATCCCTAACAACTAGCATGGTGCCTCGTATAAAGCAGGTGATTGACAGCTTTTCTGTTGAATGAATGGGACGGTGGAGGGAGGTTCAGTCTTCGCGTGGTGGGTCACCTGTATCAAGCGTCTGCGGAAGGCGCGCACCAGCGGACGAATGGATTCCCTACTACAGCACGAATGCGAACCCCAGGTGGACCCGACTTAGCTTGGTGGGGATACTGAAGCCCTGGGCAGGGCTTGGAGTGGAAGAGCAAAGGTTGCAATAAAGAGAAGGTTTAGGACCAATGCACTGCAGCTCTACTCACGTGTAATCTGTCCACGCTGTGCCAGTACCCCACAAATCTTGGCGCGTTACTACGTCATTTGCGTGTGCCACGATAGAACGCACGTCTCCGGCGCGACCGCGCCCCGCCCACTTCCTCCTTTTGTGGGCGGGGCGCCGCCTAGCCCCACCCTCAGTTCTGTCATAGCGTTTTCCCCACCCCCAGGAGTTTCTTTCACAGTTCCGATTTGAATTAACATTTGGTAAGTACATTTAGTTCCGTGTGCCCTGTTAGGTCCTAGTCTGTGAGGCCGGTGTGCAAAGGTGTTAAAGATTTCACCGAGCTAGGCGCCGGTGGCTCACGCCTGTAATCCTAGCTACTCAGGAGGCAGAGATCAGGATTGTGGTTCGAAGCCAGCCAGGCAAACAGTTGGTGCGACCCTATCTTGAAAAACCCTTCAGAAAAAAGGGCTGGTGGAGTGGCTCAAAGCGTGTACCCGGAGTTCAAGCCCCAGTACCAACACACACACAAAAAGATATGAGCACATAATTTTTGGCAAGCAAATAAGGTTAGGGGAAAGATAGCTGCTCTTTTCCCCTTTTCTTTCTTTCTTCATTTTTTTAAAAACTAAATGTTGCAGGTTTTTTTGGGGGGAGAGGGTGTAAGACTTAAAGCAAAGAAAATAGTGCCTGTGTGCTTTTAATCAAGCCATAACATTAATTAATACAGTAGTTATCTCTGAGTTCCTGGCTGCTGTTTCCCAAGCCTCAATTTTCCTGATCCATCCTGAATCAGAAGAAGGGGTTCCAAAAGGAGAAACCAAGCCACTGTCACAAATTCAGTGTTGATAGAAAGGGAATAACCATGGTTTCTGTCCTCCTGCTCTTATGTCCCTGTGAAATTTTTCCCCTTTCCTTCTTTCCTTTCCCCATGCAAATTGTCTCTCTGCCATTAGCCAAACCCAGCCTGGCCAAGCAGAGTGGTACACATCTGCAAATCCCAGAAGGCAAGTTTGAGGCCAGCCTGAGCTCCATATTGAGACCCTATCTCAAAAAAACAAACCAAGCTGGTGTGGTGGCATAAGCCTATAATCCTAATTAATTAGGAGTCTGAGAACAAGACCAGCCTGGGCAAAAAGTTCACAAGCTCCCCTTCAACCAATAGTGGTGGTACATGCCTGTCAGCCCAGCTATGGGAGGAACCCTAAAATAGGAGGATCACAGTCCGGGACAGCCCTGGCAAAAAATGAAACCCTATCTCAAAAATAACCAGAGGTGTGGTTCAAGTGGTAGAGCACTTTCCAAGAAAGCTGAAAGCCCTGAGTTCAAATCCTAGTACTGCAAAAAAAATTAAAAAAAACAAACCTCCTACCAAATTAATAACAACAACCCACCAAAAACCTAGCCTGAAGCCCAAATACAAGGAAGCTAGAGGTGGTATGCCTAGGCAAACACACAACACTAAATCTAATAATCTTTTGTTTCCTTGTTTTGGTGGGTTTGGGGGCTTAGAATTCAGGGCTTTCACTATCTCCACTCCTATTCAACATAGTACTGGAATTCCTAGCCAGAGCAATTAGGCAAGAAGAGGGAATAAAAGGAATACAAATAGGTAAAGAAACTCAAAATATCCCTATTTGCAGACGATATGATCCTATACCTTAAAGACCCCAAAAAACTCTACTCAAAAGCTCCTAGACACCATCAATAGCTATAGCAAGGTAGCAGGATATAAAATCAACATAGAAAAATCATTAGCATTTCTATACACTAATAATGAACAGAGAGAAAATGTATGAAAACAACTCCATTTACAATAGCCTCGAAAAAAATAAAATACCTAGGTGTAAACCTAACAAAGGATGTGAATGACCTCTACAAGGAAAACTATAAACTTCTGAAGAAAGAGATTGAGGAAGACTATAGAAAGTGGAGAGATCTCCCATGCTCATGGATTGGTAGAATCAACATAGTAAAAATGTCTATACTCCCAAAAGTAATCTACATGTTTAATGCAATTCCCATCAAAATTCCAATGACATTCATTAAAGAGATTGAAAAATCTACCGTGAAATTTATATGGAAACACAAGAGGCCACGAATAGCCAAGGCAATACTCAGTCAAAAGAACAATGCTGGAGGTATCACGATACCTGACTTCAAACTATATTACAAAGCAGTAATGATAAAACAGCATGGTACTGGCACAAAAACAGACATGAAGACCAGTGGAACAGAATAGAGGACCTAGATATGAAGCCACACAACTATAACCAACTTGTCTTTGACAAAGGAGCTAAAAATACATGATGGAGAAATAGCAGCCTCTTCAACAAAAACTGCTGGGAAAACTGGTTAGCAGTCTGCAAAAAACTGAAACTAGATCCATGTATATCACCCTATACCAAGATTAACTCAAAATGGATCAAGGATCTTAATATCAGACCCCAAACTCTAAAGTTGATACAGGAAAGAGTAGGAAATACTCTGGAGTTAGTAGGCATGGGTAAGAACTTTCTCAACGAAACCCCAGCAGCACAGCAACTAAGAGATAGCATAGATAAATGGGACCTCATAAAACTAAAAAGCTTCTGTTTATCAAAAGAAATGGTCTGTAAACTGAAGAGAACACCCACAGAGTGGGAGAAAATATTTGCCAGCTACACATCAGACAAAGGACTGATAACCAGAATATATAGGAAACTTAAAAAACTAAATTCTCCCAAAATTAATGAATCAATAAAGAAATGGGCAAGTGAACTAAAGAGAACTTTTTCAAAAGAAGAAATTCAAATGGCCAAAAACACATGAAAAAATGCTCACCATCTTAGCAATAAAGGAAATGCAAATTAAAACCACACTAAGATTCCACCTCACCCCTTTAGAATAGCCATCATTAGCAACACCACAACAACAGGTGTTGGCGAGGATGCGGGGAAAAAGGAACCCTCTTACACTGTGGTGGGAATGTAAACTAGTACAACCACTCTGGAAAAAAATTTGGAGGCTACTTAAAAAGCTGACATCGATCTACCATTTGATCCAGCAATACCACTCTTGGGGATATACCCAAAAGACTGTGACACAGGTTACTCCAGAGGCACCTGCACACCCATGTTTATTGCGGCACTATTCACAATAGCCAAGTTATGGAAACAGCCAAGATGCCCCACACTGACGAATGGATTAAGAAAATGTGGTATTTATACACAATGGAATTTTATGCAGCCATGAAGATGAACGAAATGTTATCATTCGCTGGTAAATGGATGGAATTTGGAGAACATCATTCTGAGTGAGATTAGCCTGGCCCAAAAGACCAAAAATCATATGTTCTCCCTCATATACGGACATTAAATCAAGGACAAACACAACAAGGGGATTGGACTTTGAGCACATGATAAAAGCGAGAGCACACAAGGGAATATGAGGATAGGTAAGACACCTAAAAAATAGCTAGCATTTGTTGCCCTCAATGCAGAGAAACTAAAGCAAATATTTTAAAGCAACTGAGGCCAATAGGAGAAGGGGACCAGGAATTAGAGAAAAGGTTAGTTCAAGAAGAATTAACCTAGAAGGTAACACACATGCATAGGAAATTAATGTTTGTCAACTCCCTGTATAGCTATCCTTATCTCAACCAGCAAAAACCCTTCTTCCTTCCTATTATTGGTTATACTCTCTCTTCAACAAAATTAGAGATAAGGGCAAAATAGTTTCTGCCGGGTAGCGAGAGGGTAGGGGGGAGAGGGAAGGGGCGGGGGGGGGGTAAGGGAGGGGGTGGGAGAAAGCAGGAGAAATAACCCAAACATTGTATGCACATATGACTAAAATAAAAATTAAAAAAAAAGAATTCAGGGCTTTGTGTTTGCAAAGCAGGGTCTAGTTCTCTCTTTTTTTGTATGTGTGTGGTATGGGGTTTGAACTCAGGACCTTACATTTGCTAGACAGATGCTCTGCCACTTGAGCCACTCCACCAGCTCTCCAGTTCTTTGTTGAGACGGTCGGAGTCTTGCAATGCATTCCAAGCTGACTTCCAACTCTTGTCTCAACCTTCAGTGTTGGGATTACAGGCATGCACTACCATGCTGGGCCATAATAATCTTTCTCTTGTGGGTTTTGTGTGTGTGTGTGTGTGTGTGTGTGTGTGTGTGTGTGTGTGGTGGTACTGGGAATTGAACTCAGGATCTTACATTTGTCCTACCCCTTGAGCCACACCCTCAAGCCTATTTTGAATTTTGCTTTAGGTTTGTTTTTCACATAGGATCTTGACCTTTTGCTCTGGGGAGGCGTGGGGGAGGGGCTCAGACAGCTAGCCTCCTACCTCTGCCTCCAGAGTAGCTGGGATTATAGCAATGTATCACCAAGTCCTGCTCATTTTTATTTAAGATAGGGTATTGCTAACTTTTTGCCCACACGGGCCTGGAATGGTGATCATCTTTTTTTTTTGTGGCAATACTGGGGTTTGAACTCAAGGCCTACACCTTGAGCCACTCCACCAGCCCTTTTTTGAGATGGGTTTTTTTGAGACAGGGTCTCAGGAACTATTTGCTTAGGGCTGGCTTCAAACCGCTATTCTCCTGATCTCTGCCTCCTGATTAGCTAGGACTACAGGCGTGGGTCATTGGTGCCCGGCCTGATCATCCTATTTCTGCCTCCCAAGTAGCTGGGATAACAGATTTGAGCCACTGGGCCTGGGCTCAAACAGTTTTATCTATATAAAAGCGACACATTAACACCTTTTGTTTTGTTTTTAATGCGGTGTGGGGTTTGAACTTTTCACTTGCTAGGTGGCGCTGTATTACTTGAGCCACATCTTCATCTAGAACATAAGCTTCCTGAGAGCAAGGCTTTCTGTTTTGTGCACTGAATATTCCTAGAGCCTGGCACATAGTTGCTTATTTCAGTGCTTACTGAGCTGTGGGTTGACTGAAGTATGAAGAGCAAAAGTTTTCACAATTGATCCACATCTTTTCATCAAGTTCTTTAGCCACAAGTACGGTTCAGAATACAGAGATAAATAGAAGGCGGCTCTCAACTTCTGGCGCTCACTGTTGAGTGGGGAAAAGAGCTAAGCAAATAATCAGTGAGTCAAGGCCATCACAAGTATGAATGATGGGCCCTGGCTGCATTAAGAAAGAAGCACTTCTCTGCTTGGAAAAATCAGGAAGGCTGAAAGAGTCTTAGGGGCCCAGGTGTTTGAGCTCCTGGGCTTTCCCACACCATCCCACGTGAAGGAGTGACAGAGATGTCGCAACAGAAGCGACACAGCTGCGACGGGAGCCGCGGCGGTGCGCGCGAGCCCAAATCTGGGTCCTAAAGCTGCTAGGTGGGAGGAGCCCGGCGCCTCGCTGACGTCACAGGCCGGCCCTCCCGTGAGCACTTGCGCGGCGGGCTCGCGCGCTCTCCAGGGGCTGGACGGTGGCGCATTATGGCGGCCTGCGGGCCTCAGGTTCTTACCTCTGTGAGTGATGTTTTCCTGCCCTAGTCCCTTTTTTCTTGTCCCACATTTTCTTTCTTTTCATGTTTCTTCCACCTCATGTCCCTAGCTTCTCGGCCTTGCTGGCCGGGGGTGGGCACGGGACTGGGAGGCCGTACGTTCCTACCTCGCTACCTCTAGTTGTGCGAATATTTTGGTTCATTTATTCGTGGGCGTCCAGTGTAATCCTTAAACATCCACTCTGTGTCTCTCCATCCTCTGTAGGGCTCACCTCAGTGAGAAACCAAGAACAGCTTAACAATGAACTGTCGGTCTGTAGTTTCTTGGAGGAAACCCCTGACACAGCTGTAGGGAAACAGGAAAAGCTTTAGGGTCCCGAAGTGCGTGTAGTAAGAGCTAGCAAAATCAAAAGCAATGGAAGACTTTCGGAGTCGGAAGCAAATACCTGTTGAAAAGCAAGAGCTAGAGCAGGTCTCTGGAAAAGTTCAAGTTCAGTTGGATGGTGGTGGAGGGGGAAGAGCGAACAGTCGTGTGAGTCTTGTTGAGCAGACTTTGGTAATTGGCGAGTGTAAAGCAGAAGAGTGATTGAATGACATTTGAGTTTTAGTTTACTGAAGTAGCAGTGTGGAGAGTTGGGAGACTGCCTTGAAATGAGGTGAGAGGATGGTGGCCCTCCACGGTGGTAGCAGTGTTGAGCTTCCAGAAGTGAAGGCAGAATAGAAAGATAGGGAAATAAGATCTAAAGCCGGTGGCTCACGTCTGTAATCATAGCTATTCAGAAGGCAGAGGTCAGGAGGATCCGGGTTCACGAAGCCAGCCTGGGCAAATAGTGAAACCCTATCTCGAAAAAATCCCATCATAATAAAAGGGCTTGCGGAGTGGCTCAAGGTGAAGGCTCCAGTACCACAAAAAGAAAAAGAAAAAGAAAGAAAGATAGGGGAAAAGGATCTAAAGGTCTACATTTTTTTGTAGGGAAAGGAAAGATTTAAGTAGTGCATTTAGGTTTCAGGCTAGAACTATTTGGTTGAGGATGTTATCTGTAAAGTTAGTGAACATAGCATTAAAAAGTGCCAGAGAGAGGCTGGAGATGTGGCACAGTGGTACAGCTCCTGTTTAGTATGTGCAAGACTTTGGATTTGATCCACAGTACCACAAAATAAAAATAATTTAATAGTTTGATGGTGGTGATGCATACCTGCATTCCCAGCACTGGGGAGGCTGAGCCAGGAAGATGGTGAATTCAAGTCTCAAAATAAATACCAAAAAAAAAAAAAAAATGGGGAGTAGTTGGGAAAGGTCATGGTGGGCATACCTGATGCCTATAGGTTGGTGAGGTAACAGCTTGGTAGAACCAAAGCTCAAGAAAGAGAACACAGCTAGAGCAGAGATCTAAGATCATCTATCAGTTTCTGTTAAAGCCCTGTGATGGATGAGGTAATTGAGGGGGAAGTGTGTAGTGTTCTTAAACTTTAGCTTACACTGTGAAAAATCAATCTGGGGAGCTTTATTTAAAATACATACTTCTGTGCCAGACTTGGTGGCTCATACCTGTATTCCGACCACTCTCAAGGCTGAGGCAAGAGGATCATTTGATAGAGGCCATCCTGTGTTGCATGGAGAATTCCAAGTTAGCTTGGGCTACACAGTGAGACCCTGTCTTATAAAAACAAACCTTGAATTCAGTTTGAGGCAGTGCTACTACTTGAGGAACAAGTAACAGGCCATCAGAGGAATAGGAACTAAAAAAGGAGACTTAGAGAGAAAGATAAAGTGTGAATCTGGACTCTGATGTTGATGAGGGAACTCTGATAATCTGGTATAGTGTCCAGAACTCTGATCATGAATGAAAGGAGAGTGTTTGGTAGAGGTGGGGTAAGGATTAATTTCAGTGGTAGGACTGCCTATAAGAATACTAAAGTTATGTAGACTTCACTGGATTTTCAAACTGCTAAATATTTGCTGAAGCTGGTGGAGTAGTTCAAGTGGTACAATGCCTGCCTATCAAGCCTGAAGCCAAATTTAAACCACAGTACTGATTTAAAAAAAAAAAAAACATTTTGTATGATGTAAGTGGATACAGTGTAAGAACCTTTGTAAATGCCAAAATGTACCCCTACCCAGCACAGCAATAAAGGACAATAAATAAATAAATTTTTGCTGGCTGTGGAAGATTGACCAGAAGGTTCCAGGTGGCACTGGGGTTTAAACTCAGGACCTACACTCTTGATAGGCAGACACTCTGCCACTTGAGCCATGCTCCCAGCTCCAGAAGGACCAAGGATAGAGCTGTAATGATTTAGAAGTAGCATTGAGGATCAGGAAGGATAAAGGTTCCACTCCTAAGTACTGTTGAACTCTTGTCAGAACTTTTTTGTTTGTAGTACTGGGGTTTGAACTCAGGCACTCAACACGTGCTAGGCAGGTGCTCTACCACTTGAGTCACTTCACCAGCATTCTCTGCCAGAATCTTAAAATAAAGTTGACTACACTGGGAATAGTCCCCTTCAAGATATATGTGGATGCGTATGTATGTATATGTGCATATATATATATATATGTATGTATATGTGAGACAGATATATATCATGCCAACTGTGTGTCCAAACTGTTAAGCATACAAAGGTGATCCATGTCTTCCTTAGGAAGTCTGTGTTTTTATTTATTTATTTATTTAGTGGTACTGGGGCTTGAACTTGAGCCATTCCACCAGCCCTTTTTAATTATGGGTTTTTCGAGATAGGGTCTCGCAAACTATTTCCCCAGGCTGGCTTCAAACCAAAATCCTCCTGATGTCTGCCTCCTGAGTAGCTAGGATTACAGGCGTGAACCACCAGTGCCCAGCCTTATTTTTTATTTTTAAATTTGAGTTAAATTTTTTTTTTTTTTTGGTGGGACTGGGGTTTGAACTCAGGGCTTTGTGCTTGCAAAGCAGGTGCTTTATTGGAGCCACACTTCCAGTTCATTTTCCTCTGGTTATTTTGGAGATGGGGGTCTCACGAACTGTTTGCCCTGACTAACCTCGAACCACAGTCCTCCCAATCTCAGTCTCCCTACCTTGGGAGACTACTACCTTGTAGGCTTATACATGAGTCACTGGTGTCTGGCAAAAAGCCTACATTTTAGCCAAAAAGACAGAACAGGAAATAAATCTAGTAGTATTATATCTTGTATATATTTAGTTTATGGAAACTCAAATGCATATACCTGAAAAAGAAATGATTAAAAATTATACATGGATTAGCGCTAGCAGAGTGGCTTAAGTGATAGCATGCTTGCCTAGCAAAACCACCACCAAAAAAAAATACACATATGTACATACATATATTACACATATACACATACGTATATACATATATATATGGATGCCAGTCTCTCGCTGGTGGCTCATGCTTGTAATCCTAGCTACTCAGGAGGCAGAAATCAGGAGGATCATGGTTTCAAGCTAGCCTGGGCAAATAGTTCGAGACTGTATCTTGGAAAAAAAATCAAAAAAGGGTTGGTGGAGTGATTCAGGCGGTATGAGCACCTGTCTAGCAAACATGAGACCCTGAGTTCAAACCCCAGTGCTGCAGGGGGAAAAAAAAATATAATGAACTTCAATTGAGCATTATTTGGTGGTACTGGGGTTTGAACTCACAGCCTCACACTTTCTGCCTACTTTCAAATGGTAGGCAGGTACCCTACCATTAAGCCACATCCCCACCTCATGTTGAACATTTTAATGATTAGTACAGGTCTGTTAGAAAAGGAGCAAAACCAAAGCTGGATGGCCACCTGCTTAAGGTAACTGTGTGGCTGAGTAAGACTTTTTTCCCCTCAATGCTAAGAATGCATCTCAGGCCATTGTGCATGCTAGGCAAGCACTCTACCAGTGAGCTACATCCCTAGCCCTAGACTGACTTTTAAAGTTTCTTCAGGTTTTAAACACTTTTACTTTTGATGTACATTTCCCATACCATTTGGATTTTTTTTTACTATTCATTTCCAAAAGATTCCTAGTGAGCAGAATACTCAGGAAGATGTTTTAACTAGATCCACTTTTCACAGGAGCAAGCCTGGCTTAAGGCTGCCCAGACCTTCATCCAAGAGACTCTTTGTCCTGCTGGGAAGGAGCTTAATGCCCAGTTGACTGAGTTGGTTATTGATTGTGTGAAGACAGTCTGGTTGTCCCAGGAGAAAAGGCCGGGTTTTTCACTGCCTCTCAGCTACAGGTAAGGAGAGGTGGGGCTTGGCTGGGAGGATGAATTTGGGATTGAGAAAGGACCTGTAGTTAGAACAAGAAGAAGTGAGAAGAGAGAATGGAGAACAAGGTGGTCTAAACGTAGCCCCTTTGCAGAACTCTCCTATGATCCACCTAGCTTTTCTTTTCCTAAAGTTCTCCTATATTGACTTGAGTCAGGTTTGCATAAAAAGGAGAGGAAGAGAGAAGTGAGGAAAATAGAACTTTTGGGAAAAGATCTCTCAAAGTGGGGAGAGAGGCTGGTGGTATTTTCATTTTGTGAGATAAAGAGAGATGTATAACTTCGCCATGTGTAGATTGTTGTGTGTGTTTGTTTTTGCAGTATTGGGATAGAACCCAGGGCCGTGAGCATGCTAGGCAAGTGCTCTAACACTTGAGCCATACTCCCAGCCCTGGATTATTGTTGTTACTATTCTGGATTTTGAACTCAGGGCTTTGGACTTTCAAAGAAGTTGCTCTACTGCTGGAGCTACATCTCCAGTCCATTTTTCCTTTGGTTATTTTGGAGATGGGGATCTCACAAACTATTTGCCTGGGCTAGCCTCCTACTTCAATCCTCCCTTTCCCAGCCTCCTAAGTATCTAGGATTTTAGGCATGGCAGACATGGGCACTAATGCCTGGCAGATTGTTACTATTTTTTTTAAGAAAACCTGAGCTTAGGGTCTTCTAAAGATTTTGGGGCTTTGTTTTGTTTTGTTGGTGGCACTGGGGCTTGAACTCAGGGCCTTGTGTTTGCTAAACAGGTAGTCTACCACTTGAGCCACTCTGTCAGTCCAGATTGTTGTTTATTAAAATGGTGTCTTGCTGTGTTGCCCAAGGTGGCCTCAAACTTGGCAGTCCTCCTGCCTCAGCTTCCCAGGTGTTGGGATTATAGGCATGCCATACCATATCTGGCTCTATTTTTCTACATTTTAGTTTACCTTATTTGAAATATCAAATATTTACTGAGGTTTGAACTCAGGGCCTCATGCTTGCTAGGCAGGTGCTCCACTACTTGAGGCACTCCGCCAGCCCTGGTTTGCCACCATTTTGTAAACTGTACTAGACAATATTCATAAAGTACCACAAGAAAAGGATTTCATGGCCAAATAAGTTTGAGAGACTTTGAATATGGTAACCTTCTCTAGAAGAGTTACAGGACTCATTAACATATTCAAGGCTCTGAAAAGTCCTGCAAAAAGAAACCTGTTCATCTCCTCATAGAACTTACCACTGTCTTAAATATGGGGTATACTTTCCCCATGCATACCTTTATATTATTACTACACATGCATTGATCCCTAAGCAATCTACAATAGAGTTTTGTGTATCTTTAGACTGACTATATAAACAGTACCATACCTTATATATCCTCTGCAGTTTGCTTTTTGTGCTTAGCATTATGCTTATGTGATTTATTCATATTGATATACTAGTTGCTCTATTGTATTCCATTGTGTAAATGGATTTACATTTACATTATATCTTTATCCTTTTTAAAATGATTTTATTAACATATAATAGTTGTACACTGTGATATTTACATATGCGTTTAAAATATATCTTAGTCGAGTTTACCCCCTCCATCATTCTCCTTCTCCCCCTTCCCGCCCTTTCTTTATCCTTTAAAAATAGAAAAGGTAGAAGTCTGTTTGACTCAAATTTGTCATTTCTCAAAGTTACTTGAGCACAGAGTACTTTTCCTTGGTAAGCCCTTAACCTGCATATGGTGGTTTGAGAAACACTTTGCACTCTTTGTGAGATGTTTTTAGGGGAACTGTTGGTGGTATCTATAGTGTTCTCCACACTCACTGATTTTCTCAAGCCCCTCTTGCATTCTACTTCTTGTCTCTGGGCCTTCTCTTGGCACAGCATTGTTCAACATACTGTTCAGCATAGACTTTCTTCCTGCTTTTCCTAGCCACTGCCAAACCTCTAGACCCAGACCCAATCCTCATTTTCTTAGGCTCTTACCCCAGTCTTTTCCCCTTCAATCAAGCAAACAAACTCGAATCTTAGTCCATGTTCCCCTTCAGCCCTTCTTTGAGCTCTTGGGGATGTATCAGGGTCAAGGGTATCCTCGTAGGCTTGGACTGGCTTTGCAAGACCTCTCTTCTTTTCACTCTCCAGCTTTGTCTCAGTACAGAACCTCAGGACCCACCAGCGACTCCCATGTTGCAGCCACCTGTCCCAGAGCAGTAGTGCGTACCAGGTTTGGGCCCAAGGTTCTGGGCCCAATGGTAACTCACTTTGCCAGGAGCGGCTGTTACTTTTAGGGACACTAACAGACCTATCGGTACAAGAACACAGGAACGGAAGCCTCTATGTAAGAGATAACACTGGAATCCTGGGCTGTGAGGTGAGTAGAAGCAGAAGGTCACGTGCCTCGGGTCCTAACAAGAATGGTGTCTAGGAAGCTAAAAGGCATCTAAGTCTCTGAGGGAACAAATGTAGAGGGGGTGTATTAGATGTTAGAATCCCCATTAACCTGCACTATTGGTCTTTTCTAGCTCATAGATCTAGACCTTTCTTGGTTGGGCCATCTCTTCCTGTTCCCCAGTTGGAGTTACCTTCCTCCTGCCAGGTGGAATTCCTCAGGGGAAGGGCACTTGGAGCTCTGGGATGCCCCTGTGCCAGTGTTTCCTGTGACCATAAATCTTGACCCTCTCACACCTATCCCTGTCCTCTACCCAGAGATGGCATCCCGCCTACTCAGACCCAGGTAACTCTTCCATCTTGCGGGGAGAAAGGAACACTGTGAAACTTGGAGGATAATGGTGATTTAGTGGAGAGAAAGAATGGTTTCAATAGTATTATAAATGTATTGTTCCAAATCAAGGGAACAGTGGGCTCTTGAATATTGAGAATGCTAAGAAAAGAGTTTTGAACTAGACATGGTGGTGCACACCTGTAATCCTTACACTTGGGAGACTGAGACAGGATGATCATGAGTTCAATGCCAGCATACATGGTGAGTATGAGACAAGCTTGAGCTACAAAGCAAAACCCTGTCACAAAAAAAAAAATCCAAGCGGAATATTTTTTAATCTAAGGGCAAGAAGAGTTTGAAGGTTTTCAGAGTGATATCCTTAATTATGGACATTTTATATCACTACTAGATTGTTCTTTACAGTGTAGGGGAAGACATTTGTAGAGAAAAGGAAGGGAAATCAAATGACTTCTTCCTTTCCTCTTCCTTCCATAGAAGCAAGCTCAGAGTCATGCAGCGAAATCTGGCTGGGGAACTGGTTCGATTGAGTGCTCTTGTGAAAAGTCAAAAAAAAGCATACTTCGTTCTGTCTCTTGGTGAATCATCCCAAGCTATTAGCCAAACTGTCAGCCAGGTGTCTATCATCGTGCAGGTGAGGATTGGGATCAAGTCAGGGGCATGCAGGTGTGGAAGGGGTATTAGAACTCCTAATGGGAAAGATAACATCATAGGAGGAACCACATAGGAAAGAGTTGTTTTTTGCAACTGCTGTGGAGGGAAATTTCCAAGCAGTGTTATCTGTGTATAGAGGTAAGTGGTAGACTTTTATCTGGCTATGTAGCCCAAGCTGGCCTTGAATTCACAATCCTCCAATCTCTGCCTCCCCGAGTACTGGAATTACAGGTGTGTGCCACTACACCTGATGTCACATAGACAGCTTTGGTATTGTGCATGGCATTTTTTTAAAAACTGCCACAATGGCTTATTTTTCCCCTGCATTAGGATGATCAAACAAAAAATTCATCTTAGCACCATTAAGACATTGAATATATGTTTTTTGTGATGGGGTTTTGCCATGTAGCCCAATCTGTTCTTGTATTTACAATTCTCCTGTCTCAGTCTCCTGAGGGCTGAGACTACAGCCATCCTGCCTGGCTAAATACATGGATTTAAAAAAAAAAACAACAAAAAACTTTGTACTTATTGACTCTTTTTTTTATATCAAGTATAATTTTTAAATCATTAATTTTGGAAACCATTGTTTTATGACTTATATAATCACCTGAATAATGTTTCAACAGCATTCAAAACAATTAAAGGGCCAGGCACCAAGTGGCTCTCAGTTCCAAGCCAGTTTGGGCAAATAGTTTGAGAGACCCTATTTCAAAAAAAACCCATCACAAAAAAAGACTGGTGGAGTGGCTCAAGGTGTAGGCCCTGAATTCAAACATCAGTACTGCAAAAAAAAAAAAAAAAAAAAATCTGATTATGACTTTTCCTCCTGGGTTAAAGAGGATTTTACATATTTTCTTTATCTTTTATTTTAGTTTTTAATTTTTTTTTCTTTTTATGGTACTGGGGTTTGAACTCAGGGCTACTCTGCTGTCCTTTTTTGTGTTGAGTAGCTTCTTTTTTAAAAAAAATTCTTTTATTATCATATTATCATTCTTCTTTATCTCCTCTCCCTCCATTCTTAGAATAGTTTCAACAAGTCTCATGTTGTGTTGGGTATTTTCGAGATAGGGTCTTACGGAACTATTTGCTTTGGCTGGCTTCAAACTTTGATCCTCCTGGTCTCTGGCTTCCAACTAGCTAGGATTATTGGTGTGAGCCACCTGTGCCCAACTACACATTTTCTTTAAATTATAATGTTTTAGGGAAGGGGGATAAAAGCAAATGATAGAGGGAGTAAATTTTAATTTAAAAGTGTAAACATTTTTGTAAATGTCACAATGTCCCACCAGTACAACAATAGTGTAATTAAAAAATTTTTGTTTAAAAAGATAATATTTTTACCCAGGTGCCAGTGTCTCATGCCTGTAATCCTAGCTACTCAGGAGATAGAGATCAGGAGGATTGCAGTTCGAAGCCAGCCAGGGCAGATAGTTCCGAGAGACCCTATCTTGAAAAAACCCTTCACAAAAATAGGGCTTTACAAGATGAAGGCCCTGAGTTCAAGCCCCAGTACTGGGGGGAAAAAAAAAAAGATAATGTTTTAAATCTTTTTTTTAAGTTTTTTATTACAATATATTCATTATACAGGAGGGAATTCATAATGACCATTTCTGTTAGCTTTATGTTGTACATTACTTACATTGCCCCCTTCACCTGTGCCCCCAACCACCTTCTCCTGCCCCACTTAAAAACAATTACAAGAAGTTTCTTTGTTCTATTTCATGTAGGCATATGAAGTCCACCAACTGTATTCCCTCACCTTAATCTCCTTCCTTCGACCTCCTCTCTCCCACTAGTACCCCCCACACACTGTATCTATTTTACAGTCCTGTTTTACATTATTAATATTTCAGTTGATATTAAAGGTGTGTCTCAATGTATCCCCACTGTGGGTGTTCTTTACTTTGGTCCATTCAACACCTTCCATTACTCTCCCTTATCTCTTGACCTCTTACCCACCATTTTTCAACAGCTTTAATACTCACCTTATGTTCTCTACCTTCACAGATATTATGCTTTACAATGTTTGTTTTAAGTCTCTTAGAGACAATTGAAACCTCTGTGAAGGGCAGAATTGGCTCATTCATGTGTTATTCTATGTCCAGGGAAAAAAAAAATCTCTGAAATATACTTGAATTTCCACAAGGTGACTAGAGTCAGTAGGTAATCATTGCTATAAATCCTAGATAGTACTGATGTATAAAACAGTCAGAACAATATAAAGCAGTATGTCAGTTCCAAGATGGGTGGTATTGTCTATAACTGCTATAGCAGGCCAGCTAGAGTTTATTATGTGCAGGAGTTTAAACTTGATTGGGCCTTGAAGGATGGGTAGGGTTTGAATCTTGAAAAAAGTGGAGGATGTTCTGAACTGTGAATCACCTGAACCAAGATTTGCTGAATTGAGCATGTACTAATACTTTGGTTGGTTAGTGGCACAAAAGTGAATAAGATAATGGCTCTTGTCCTCTGGGAACTCTTAATCGGGTATGTGCAGTGGCCATAGGATTGTAAGTCCAGTGGTAGATACATGCATATGCATGAAGCATCATGAGGGGGCAGAGGTGGGCTCTGGAATAAACTTGGGAGGTTGGGGCAAGAGTGCTTCTTCCCCACTCCTCCCCCAGTGCTGGGGATCAAGCCCAGGATCTAGAGTGTGTGTACTCTACCACTGAGCCACACCTCCAACAGGGCAGGACTGCTCTTGATGTGTTTACAGGCTGCTAAAGAAGCATGTTGGAGACATATTGTTGCGACCCCATTCAGGCTCTTCTGTAATAAAGGATAGGCTAGACTTTGAGAAGGGAATAAAAGCTTAGGGTAATTTTCTGTGGTGGGTAGTCAGGGACAGGAATTGCTAAGTAGTGACAGGTCCAGCAGGAGCAAGTCAACATCCATGTTTGGTTCTGGGTGGCATGGATCTGTCTTTCTCAAGTAGGACTTCTGCCTTAGAAAATATCTTGAGGAAATAGATTGGTATGATTGAGTGTATGTAGACTTAAGGGTGAAGCGTAGAGAGGACAGGATTCAGGTCCTGACATTCAGACAGGGAAGGACCTCAGCATCTTATTAAATGAGACGGGGGCTGTGATACTAGAGCTATCAAGGAGCATAAAGGAGAGGGACAGAGAGTGAAAACACCCCTTCCTTCATTTCTTTGCTCATCCAAACCATTATTAACTACTTGTTTTATGCCAAGAAATTTTTGTTTTTGTTTTTTGATGGCACTGGGGTTTGAACTCAGGGTCTTATGCTTGCTAGGCAGACATTCTGCCACTTGAGCCACTCCACCAGCCCTGTCAAAAAGTTTTAAATGAGGCCTCATAAGTATCTTATGACGAGTAGTGATGTCTAAGGTCTGATTGGTAGGATACAACTGATTGTAGAGTAGAAATAGTGGTCTGTGAAGTTCAATGTCTTGGAACTTAGCTGTTCCATTTTTCTTCTGCAACTCCCAACAATGTTCACTCTTCTTTACCCTCACCAGTGTTTTTACTATCCCTAAAGCATACTTTGCTTTTTTTTTTTTTTTTTTTTTTTGTGGTACTGGAGTTTGAACTTGGGGCCTTAAGCTTACTAGGCAGGTGTTTTACTACTTGAGCCATGCCTCTAACCCCCAAAACGTTCTGAATGGTGATGTGATGCCACAAGTGGAAAAGTCCACTCCTGACCTTATGTAATATGGCTGAAATTAAAGCACAGGCACACTAAAAGTATTGTGTTAGAAATTAGTTTCATGCTATATGTATAAAGTATATATGAAACATAAATGAATTACATGTTTAGAGTTGGACTCCACCTATAAGACATCTCATAATGTATATATAAATATTCCAGAATCTGAAAAAAAAATCCCAAATCTGAAACATTTCTGATCCTATATACCCTTCAGGACCCTGTTCAAATTCAACTTCAACTTCATTTACTGGGCGTTCCTGATTATTACAGCCTTTCCTGACCTTCTCTTTCCAAATGTATATTATTTTTGACACTTAATCATATATGGCTCCATATTACTTCTAGAGTGTTCCTTAGAGATTTGAAATATGTTAAAGAGAAGGGAATACTTTATTATACTTCCCTTAACATCTATCCTGATACTTGGTACATAAGTACCAATTCATAGTGATAATGTGTGTGAATGTGGTTTCTGTGTTATGGGGTAGAAGAGGGGAAATGCTGAAAAGGACATAATTTCCTTGATTGACTATTTACTTATTGAAGGAAGTTTTAGAGGTGATTTGTGAGGAAAAGATGAGGAAATATTTGGCATCTCCTGTGAGAGAGGAGAGATCCTGGAAGTTGTGTATAGTTGTACAGGGGAGTTTCATTGTGACATTTACATATGTATTTATGATGTATATTTAAAAAAAATTTTTTTTTTTGGCAGTACTGGAGTTTGAACTCAGGGCCTAGTGCTTGTTAGGCAGGCACTGTACCACTTGAGCCATGCCCAGCCCCTACAATGTATCTTAGATTCTCCCCTTGTGGCTTAAGTTTTAATTAGCAAACATAGAGAAGATCAAGTGACAAGGGAAGACTTATAAGGACAAATTGTGATGTGAAGGGACTTTCAGCAGGGCAGTGTTGTAGGGAGTGTCTTATGTATCACGTTGCCTGCCTCTGCATAAACCAGATTCCTGCCCAGCTGGTATGGCACCAAGTTCTTCGGCCTGGTAGGGCCTATGTGCTGACAGGACTTCGAGTATCCAAGGTCCGTGGTCAGCGTTACTATGTTTGGATGACCAGTCCTTCCTCCCATCTGATGCTGCTGAAACCAGGATGTGTGCAGGAGTTGGAACTGGAAGAACCCTTCTTGGAGGCTGACCCCAAGCCACTCCCTTCACCCAGAAAGTCCCAGGACAGAAAGGGACTAAAGGGTCTTGTCCGGGATTCCAGACTCTTACATTATGCGGTGAGTACAAGAAAGAGATCCTAGAACTCATGGAGCAGGACATATGGGAGAGGAAGGAGATGGTGGCCAACTGCACCTCTGTCCTTTTCTCTTTGCAGGGAACAGTCACTAGTGTATTGAATGAGCCAGCTGGTCTCTATGAGCTGGATGGAAAGCTGGTTCTCTGCCTTGCGTACCAGCAGTTCCACAGTCTCAGGCGGGTGATACGACCAGGGGTATGTCTGGAGGTATGTGAGAAATCAGGGCTGGTGATGAAACCTCAGCAGCTTCTCTTATCTTCACAGCCTGGTTTTTTTTTTTTTTTTTGCAGGTAGGTAGAAACTTCCGTAGCAAAAATACACAAATAGTAATAGTAAGTGTGTGTTGCAGGGAGTGCTTTAGTTAAGAATGATTTGCATAAGAGCCTAGAAAGGAAAGGAGTAGTCTTGGGCCCTGTGAGGAGGGGTTGAGGCCAGAGCAGCTCCTGTACAGAAGAGCCTCCTGACTGAGGGAGAAGATTGCTAAAGCATAGGTGTAGAGTCAAGAGGATCTCAGGCAGCCAGGAGTCACCTGGTCCTCAGAAAGACCAATGAGTTCATGGGAGATGACAGCTGACTTCGGGCTACAGATTCTTTTGGAAGGTGAGGTATAAATTGTGGAATGAAACAGCTAACAGAGGAACTTGTGTTTCTTGAAACCTAAGCAGCAGAAACTGTAGCTACCTCTGCCTGGGGCTGAGTTGGGGCTTCACCTCTGCTTTTCTGTCTTCCTGCAGCTCCGTGATGTTCACCTCCTCCAGTCAGTAGGTGGAGGAACAACAAGGCCAGTGATAGCACCGTGCCTCCATGGCACCATTCTACTTCGGGGCTTTTCTTATCAGAAGCCTGGGACTCGGTCATCCCTCCAAGTTCATGGGGCCTCCTTGTATCAGCACCTGGTATGGGAACGACAACTAGGACTTCCTCTCTATATGTGGGCTACCAAGACCCTGGAGGAGTTGGCTTGCAAGTGAGGAGAATGAGGGTATGGGGTAGGGAGGTGGTGGAAGAGGACACAGCAGGATTCTGAAAGGGACATCATCTTTGGAGGAAGTGACTATGCTTTTTTCCTCTGGTCAAGGCTGTGTCCTTACGTGCTGAGACACCACCAGTTCCTTCAGCATTCCTCTCCTGGGAACCCCAGCCTAGGACTACAGCTTCTGGCTTCCTCCCTGGATGTTCTTGCTCCACCAGGTAGCCCCATTCGGAATGCACACAGCGAGATCCTGGAAGAGCCGCATCACTGTCCCCTCCAGAAAGTATGAAGATATGGGAAAGATGGGATGCAGAGTGAATACCTGAGGATACCTGGGCACAGGAAACACAATCTGATTCTCCTCTCTCCCTGACAGTATGCTCGGCTGCAGATGCCCTATTGTGTCCCCACCCTGGCCACACTGATAAAGGAAGGAGAGCACAGGGCTTGGGCCTCCTTTGACCCAAAGGCACTTCTGTCCTTCCCAGAGACTGCCCATCTGCCCAGCTGCCAACTCAATCGTCGCCTGGCCTGGTCCTGGGTCTGTCTGTTGCCTTGTGCCTTCCACCCAGCTCAGGTAAGGAGGCTCCAGAAGGTCCAGGGGACTTCCTCTTTTTGCCATCCTCATTGCCACTACCTAGTCTGGGTCACTGTCTTTTTTTTTTTTTTTTTTAAAGAAAAATCATTTTGATTATGCTGGTCTTCTAGCTAGACTGCTCCATCTCTACTTTTTTTTTTTTCAGTGCTGGGCTTGAACTCAGGCAGGCAGGCACTCTACCACTTGAGCCACTTCACCAGCCCTTTTCTGTATTGGGTATTTTTGAGATAGGGTTTTGCAAACTGTTTGCACAGGGCTGGCTCTGAACCATGATCCTCCTAATCTCTGCCCCCTGAGTAGCTAGGATTACAGGTGTGAGCCACCTGCACCTTGCTGTTCATCTGTTCTTGGCCTCACCAATTCATCCTCCTTAGAACAGCTAGAAAGAGGGATGTGAAAATGTAACTTGAATACAGAATTCTCTTGCTTAAATCCTTTTCATTGTTCTACCAGTGCACATAAAATAAAACCAGACTTCTCATTATGTCCTGTGAGGCCCTGCATGATCTTTTACATTCAACCCCAATTTTTGCCCTTTCTCTCGAGTGCTGGGATTACAGACCTGAACCACCATGTCCAGCTGTACACTTTATTTTCTGCTTCTAAACACATGAATGCTTGTATGTTTTTTCATATCTGTCTTTCCCTCGAGTGAATGTCTTTTTCATTCACTTTGTACTGCTAACATTTAACACAATACTGAGCACATAATAGATGCTCAGTGTTTATTTAATAAATATTTGATACCTTGGCCTTCCTCTTCCTGCAGGTTTTAGTTGGGGTTCTGGTGGCTTCATCTCATAAAGATTTTCTGCAACTTCGGGACCAAAGTGGTTCTCTGCCCTGCCTTCTCCTGGCCAAGCATTCACAACCCGTCACTGACCCACGGCTCATAGGTGTGGAGTTTGGAGGTGGAAAAATGGGGGTGGTAGGGTGCAGGTCCTCAGAGTGTAGAGGGGCCAAGAGGAAGTATCTGCTAAGGCTTGCTATAGATGCTGAAGGGACATGTGTTGATCAGCAACTTTGAGAAGTTTGGGAGACAGGTATGGCAGGGAGAGAAAAGGAGCAGAACTGATATTCCCAATATCCATTTTTTCCCCTTGACTTCTAACATGAGCACCAGGATTACTTGTGTTTTACATTCATAGTTCCAAAGAACTATGGGGATTTGTAAATAGGGAAACCCTGGGGAGGAAAATTTGTTAGATTTAGGAATGGACATTTTAGGAATTTGTAGAAAAGTACAAACAAGGCCTTTCAGCTTAGGAGGCCATGTACATGTACATGGTATGTTTTCTCCTTGAAGGTACCACCCTTATGGGAAATGGGGGTGGTCAAGTATGGCCAATTCCCTATGTGTGAGAGGAACAGCTCTGACCTGGGATGGGCAGTGAGACCTGCAGGGTGGTCTGCCTCACTGCCCATTACACAGTTCTCTTTTCTTACCAAGATAAAATATTTTCTTCCTCTAGGCTGCCTGGTGTGGGCAAGAAAGTTCCAGCTGGTTGTAGAGAGGGATGTCAGGAGCAACTTCCCTTCCTGGAAGGAGCTGGAGGTGGCAGGCTTCATCAAGAAGCGGCAAGCCAGGTCAGCTTCTTGTGGTAGTGGCTGTCAAGGGCCTAGTGCAGATTGGGGAATGCAGGGCCCAAATCACCCAAGAGGGTCTATTCCTGTCTCTCCCAACAGAGTCTATGTCCAGTTTTTTCTGAGTGACGCCCTGATCCTGCCTGTGCCCAGGACCACTCTTCATTCAGCCACTCCCTCGGCACCTTATACAGAGCTCCCCTGCCTAGAGAGACCCCACATAGTACAGAGCCGGCTATTCTTGCTGTCCCACAAGGAAGCCCTCATGAAGCGGAATTTTTGTGCCCCTCTGGGAGCCAGTTCAGAGATGCCCAAGCCTGCCCTCAGTTTCTGTGTGTCAGGAAGCTGGCTTGGAGGCACCCAGAGGAAGGAGGGGAATGGATGGGGCCTACCTGAGCCTCTGAGAGAACAGAACAAGGATCAGAAGGTAAACTGGGGCTCCAGGCGTCTAGCACCTGACCTTCCATATCCTGAACTCCAAGCTGAGACATAGCACCCTCCTGTTATTCCTCACAGGTTCTCCTCATCTTTCTTGGCTGTTCAGTCCGCTGGTTTGCAGTCTTGCACCCGGGGCAGGTGTATCGACTTGTGGCTCCTGGTGCCTCTGTGAGTGTCCTACCTCAGCCTACCCTTCCCCAGAAAGCTGTGTTTGGGTTGGACTCTGGAATGGGCATGCCAGTGCTGGTCCCTCTAGCTCTAGAAGAGGCTGGCTTTAAATGAGCTAGAAGGTCTGTCTGTTGAGACTCCTTCTTTCAGTGGGCTCCAGGAAGAAAGCAGCAGTGGAGAGTTGTGAGCCTCTCTCTGGTCTGGGCACACTCAAAAGTAGTGTCATCCCATTTCCCAGCAGACACCAGTTTTTGAGGCAGAATGTTCATCCTGCATGTCTCAGCGTCCTTTGGAGTTGGCTGGCTGTGTATCCTGCCTCACTGTCCAGGATGAGTGGACCCTGGAGTTTCACAGCTCCCAGGATGTGTCAGGTGTACTGGGGATACCTGAAGCCCTGCCCAAGTCCTCACTGACCCACCTGCTCAGTGGCAAGTAAATGTCTTCCAGCCCCTGTAGTTAATTTGGCTGTGTTCTCTCCCCCACACTGGTTGGGTTTGGTAAACAGTGCATTCTCTACTATAGTGTTTCTTTAATGCAATTATCTGTTAGAGGAATGATGTCAGTACAAGAGAGAAGTTGTATTTTGTGCTGAGTACTTCTTTCACCATGTCACTGTCTAGAAATGGTCCTAAGAAAAGCATTCTCACATTAAGAAGAATCATTAGTCATAATAGGAGAAACATAAGAAAATATAAGCAAGAAAGCTGAACATGTAGAGAAGGGCCTTCATTTAGTACAAGATGTGGCTGGCTGATGGCTGCAGAAACAGTGATATTTCCTCATGTAAGCTTTTTGGGGTGACTATGAGTATAAATGAGAAATCTACAGAGATGTGAAAAAAAATGCTTCTGAATTATTTTATGAACCAGTTTCCATTAGAAGTGTATGTTTTGAGGGGGTCTGAGCCCCAAGTCATAAGGTTACAAGTAATGAACCAACTGAGGCTGTCAGTGCAAACACAGTGGGCAAACAAGCCTCTGGTTAGGCTTGTGCTTTCAAAGTGATGTAGGCTTTATCATTTTTTTCTTTTTATTTATTTTATTTAAAGGTTATGTAGGCTTCAAATCTCTGTCACAAGTCTGTCTTCCCATACACCTTGTTACTTTTAGGGAGCAGTTTGGCAGAGCATGATGTTTTCCGGGACCTTATATGGGTGTTTTAGCAGACACTGACTTCTTTTCTGTCCTTTGGGCTGGCCCTCTCCATATATATATGTGTGTATGTGTATATGCATATATATATTTTATATGTTTTTTTCATTTGTACTTAGAGTCACCCCAAAAAGCTTACATGAGGAAGTATCATTGTTCCTGCAGCCATCATCCAGCCACATCTTAGGTTATTTTATATATATATATGTATAATTATTATTATTATTATTTTTTTTTTTGTGATACTGGGGTTTGAACTCAGGGCCTACACCTTGAGCCACTCCATCAGCCCTATTTTGTGTTGGTTTTTTTTCGAGATAGGGTCCCATGAACTGTTTGCCTGGACTGTCTTCAAACCACAGTTCTCCCTAATCTCTTGCCTCCTGATGAGCCATCAGTGCCCAGCTCCACTCTATGTTTTTGTGCTAGTCCCCTGTGTTTCTCTTACCTTTCAGCTTCACGGATTCCTTGGTGTCTTTCTCAGCTGAGATTTTGTCACGGATACCATGTGGGCCACCTCTGACTCCTCACTGGATGCAGCCTGGTAATGACCTGTCCTTCAGGGAGAAGGTGTGAAATAGAGTGATGTAACCTTGTAGTCCTGGCAGATCCTACTAGCCACTCCTCCCCTTCATCTGTAGGGAACACTGGGGCCGTGAGAAGGTGTGTGAAGCTAACCGTAGCTCTAGAGACTGCTGACTGTGAATTCCCCCCTCACCTGGACATATATATCGAAGACCCACACTTGCCTCCCCCACTAGGACTCCTTCCAGGAGCCCGAGTCTACTTTAGCCAGCTGGAGAAAAGGGTTTCCAGGTGAAGACCAGTGCTATATGGCCGTTCTTCCTTTCCCTACTGACATGCTTCTCTTGAATATTCACCCTGACCTAACTATGCCATAACGACTCTTAGGTATTTGTTTGTTTGTTTATTTGGGCTGGGGTTTGAACTCAGGACTTCTTACTTGCAAAGCAGGCACTCTACTGCTTGAGCCACACTTCCAGTTCATTTTGTTCTGGTTAGTTTGGAGATGGGGGATCTATTTTAGTTGGAGATAGGGGATCTATTTGCCAGGGCTGACCTCAAACTGCAATCTTCCTTGAACCTCTCAAGTTGCTAGGATTACAGGCATAAGCCACTATGCCATGTCTTTACTATTATTTTTGATACATTAGTCTACTATATATGCCTTCTAGCCTCCTGAGATGTTGTAAACCAGTCCTCCCCTTTTTCTTCCCTCCACTTTGGTAGGGCAGGGGCCAGGCTATGTCCATGAGGGTAAAGGAGTTAGCCAAGCATGTGAGGGATGATTGCTGAGCCTCAGCTCCTCTAAGCTAACTGCTTTCTCTTCCTCATCACTATCCTTCCACTTGCAGATCCAACAATGTTTACTGTTGTTTCCGGTCATCCACTTACACACAAGTCCTGAGTTTCCCCCCAGATACCGCAGTCAGGTCAGTGCTCGTGCCCCATCCATAAACTTTATGGTGCACACGCCACATCCCACTCACATCCCTGGCTCTGGAACTTCTGCCATAACTGCAGTCTTCAATCCCAGCAGAGTGTTTTGAGTCAGAGTTTATTCTGCCCCAAATAAATTGCTGCCCAAAACCTGTCAATTTACCCAGAAAGATTTTTTTTTTCAGTATTGAAAAAAAAAATGCACAATGCAAATATTTTCTTGACTAATGTCTTAGTGTTCAAGCCTGAGAAATAATTGATGACTCTTGGAGATAGGAATGAAAATGGGGGCAAGGGCCCTGGTTTCAGAAATCCTCTGCCTGCTTTTTTCCTTTTTAATACATCATCTTGCTATGTAGTGCAGGCTGGCCTTGAACTCAAGATCCTCCTGCCTCAGTCTCCTAGGTACTAGGATTATAGACATGAGCCATGCCTGGCTTTACTATCTGTATCTTGATCCCTGTCTCTTTCTCTTTCTTTAGTGTTCCCCTGCCCCACATCTATCTGGCTGAACTTCTACAGGGTAACCAGGCCCCATTCCGGGCCACTGCCTCTTGCCATGTCGTTTTTATCTCCAGCCTTCAGCTCCTGTGGGTTTGTGCTCATTGTACCAGCATCTGCCCCCAGGTATTGGGAGGGGGGCAGGCTGAGCTGGGAGTGGAGTGCCAGAGGGATGTCATGGGACCAAGAGGACTTTTCCAACCACTTATTTCATCCTAGGGGAGGTGCAGTCGTCAGGGCCTCACTTGTCCCACTCAGGCGTCTATAAGCCAAGCCAGCATCAGGTGAGCACCCATCACACTTGTTTACTTGTTTGACAGTTTCATCTGTCTGCACTGTCTGGCTCACGGAAATTGCTTGATAAGTATTTTTTGAATGAATGTATGTATGAATGAATGAGGGTGAAATGAGCTAATAAAGACTGGAAACAGTGGGGAAGGAGGCCAGTCTATTTAAGTCTAGAAGACTTAGGATTGGCTGCCTAAGTTTGTTGTGGGGCTTTTTCCTCCTCCCAACTCCCAGGCTCTTGGTAGAGGATGGGACTGCTGAAGCCATGGTGACCTGTAAGGATCATCACGTGGCAGCAGCACTAGGTCTGGGTCCTAGTGAGTGGACCTCCCTCCTAGAGTTTGTCCGAGGGCCAGGGAGAGTGGCCTTGCGGTTTTCAGGGCCTGGAGCCCAACTGGAGGTGAGATGTGCCTTGGGGGGGCAGAGGCTTACCTATTCAGGTTCCTGGGGCTTTCACAGAAGGTTGGAAGTTGGATTCTGATTAATCCTGAGTTTCCCTTTCTAGTCTTCAGCCAGCATCCATGAACCTTTGACCCTCTTCCTCCAGACACTTTGTACCAGTCCCTCCGTCCTGCGCTCCATTGTGCTTTCTTTTGAGCTTGAGAGGAGACCCTCCAATATCACCCCATTAGGTAAGAGTGGTGCAGATAGAGATAGATGTGTCCCAGGGAGGAAGAGGAATGAGAAGTTGATAGGGGATTTCTATAGTTGGGGAGAAAAGTGGTTGGGAACTAAAAACCACATGTGTGGGACATGTGTTTTTCCTCTCTTTCTAGAACCTCCACGGCTACAGAGGTTCCAGTGTGGAGAATTCCCTTTCCTGACTCGAGTGAATCCTAGGCTCCGACTGACCTGCCTTTCTATTCAAGAACCAGAGCACCCTAGCTCTCTGGGGGCCTTTGCTTCCTCCTGTTAATCTGAACTGCGAATGGCCTGAAAGTTCTTCATGCCTTACCAGAAACCTTGAGGACTGGGTTCCAGCTTTCCCCATACTGTAGCCCCTCCTTTGTGATTGAACCAGGGCCCTACATCTATTGGATTCACAAACTGCCACCCTACTATAGTTTCTAACTACAAACTATATGTGCTAGCCTGTGTCTCAGGAACATTTTGAGAACAGTAAATCATGGTGTTGGTAGTTTTCCTATGGTTGGGGTCAAGGCACCTGCACTCACAGGTAGCCCTAAGCACTTGGGTTCTGCCTTGTGGCAGGAGTTGGAAGAACAAAATACTGGGTCTTGTGAGGGTGCTGGTAACAGGCCTTTTGGGTTGTAATAGAACCCTCTGAGGATATTTCTCGCCCACGTTCATCTCTAGGGTTCCATGCCTCCTGATTCTGGTGGCTTACCATCATTCACAATCATTTCAGCTGTATGTTTACTCCCAGGGTCAAAGGTGGAAAATGATTTGGAGAAGAGCTGGTCCAGAGAGGAATAGTACCAAAGTCAGCCCTTACAGGGAGTAAATCAGGAGGTGGGGACAGGGTAGAGAACATGGCCTGGTGGTCTCAGTCAGCAAGGCTGAGAGAGAGAGAGAGAGAGAGAGTGAGAGTGAGTGAGTGAGTGTGTGTGTGTGTGTGTGTGTGTGTTGAGTGTGTTGAAAGCGTAGATGTGTTGGGAAAGTACAAATGGTGTGGGGACGAAGTGCCAAGCATGAGAAGCATGTGAAGAAGCTGGGTGCCTGTAATCTAGGACCCAAGTTAAAGGGTCAGTACTGGATTTTCCCAGGGCTAGGCCCAAGGTAGATTCTTACACCCTGATACAGGCAGGAATTCCTGAGTCGGAACCTGCAGAGTTAGGAGCTGCAGGAGCAGCTCACTTCTTTCCTGAAAGCTGCTCACTAGATGTGGAGGTAGAGCACTTCTTGGAGCTGCTTTGAGGGCATTTCTTCCTGGCTTCTATAACCCTATGCAGTCTTAGGAGCGGGGAATCATCCCCCAACGTGAGTGAAGTTGTAGAACTGCGCCTCATTTCAGAAACACCATAGGTGGAGATCGGAGGCAACCGTTCTTCGCGACTGGCCGGTTAGCTCAGTTGGTTAGAGCGTGGTGCTAATAACGCCAAGGTCGCGGGTTCGATCCCCGTACGGGCCATGAGGGCTTATTTTTTTTTTTTTTTTTTCTTCCGCCTCCGCCACTTTTCCCCAGAATGTTCTTCCTGGAGCCTTCCGATTGCACATTACACCTAGTGCTTCTCAAACCTAAGTGGCTAGTGCACTCCGCACGCGAGGAACGCTCTCGGACCGCAGCTGCTCCTTCCTTCTCCGGGCGGTCATTGAGGAAGGCGGGTGGGAGAAATGAGAAGTTCCGGAAGTCTATTCGGATTCTATCTGGTTATGGCCTTCTCCTGGTGTGGGCTCCTTGTCCTTGTAGGCCTGGAACAAGGAAGGGAAGAAGAAAGGATTTTCTTTTTGGGGGAGGGGATGACTAAGAAAGGCATGGGATAAACAGGCGTAGGAGAGCTGTGTAGTCGTGGCCGAGTGGTTAAGGCGATGGACTAGAAATCCATTGGGGTCTCCCCGCGCAGGTTCGAATCCTGCCGACTACGTACCTTTTTTTTTTTTCCTCCTTCAATGTAGTGACAATTTCTCACCTCCGACGTGAGGCTGAGTGACCCTGGGCACCCTCCAAATGTCCTGGTCTCAGATTCTGTAATCCCGGGAGTTGGTACTTCCGACTGAGTTTGAAATCTTTCAACATTAGGGAAATTCCATTCATGGATACAGCGGTGTTGCAAAGCCTAGTTGGTTTGTTTTAAGTTCTAGAGCAAACCAGACACCAGGTCATATATTCTTCTAGTGCACCTCAGGAAAGCTTGCTGCTAGCTTTGGCGCCGTGGCTTAGTTGGTTAAAGCGCCTGTCTAGTAAACAGGAGATCCTGGGTTCGAATCCCAGCGGTGCCTTTACTGGTTTCCCCAATGTGGCGTTTTTTCCATTTTTGTGACCAAGTCGACTTGGCATTACCAACTCATTTAAATCAGAACGCATAAGGGTTTCAGTTCCACTCAGAGCACACAAGTGTCCTGCTGAGCCTGCAGCTTCCAAGCTGACACTCTGACCTGGGTGGAAATCCTACACCCTTTGGCTGCCATTCCACAGTCCAGGCGCTTCCCCAAACCCACCTTGTCTCCTAGAATCTGAACCACATTGGTTTGTTTGGGTCATCATTATATGCTTCTTGGTTGGGGTAGAGTTTCATACTTTTATGTTTTCTATTATATAAAAGACATTATCTGAAATGTGCAGATTTTAGCACCCTTTAGCAGCCCTTTCACCAGTAGTTACCTCCATCCCTACCCACAAGTGGGAAGTCAGGGTAGGAGTTAGCAGGACTCACCGGCCTGGTACTGTTAAGGACTGGGACCATGTAACACCAGGAAGAATAGGGCGCCAAGCCAGTGAGTTTCCACCGAGTCTGGTGTGGACCAAAAGGCTTCACTGCAGCCAGGCTGACCAGGATAGAAGTGAATTCTGAAGAAAAGCTGTGAGCAGGGCCTAAACCTCCTTGGAAGACAGAAAGGTCTAGACACCAACCCTTGGCTCAGGATCCACTGTGAGATGTCTGAGTAAAGCCTTGAGTTAAATGAATTGCAGTGATGCAACAGTGCCCAGACTACATTTGTGCCTAGTACTGGCTGGGTATGATACATAAAAAAATGAGACCCTTTTCTTAGTGCTCCTAGGAAGAAACAACAGAAGGCCCTAAGGGCAGGGACAGGGTGCTGCAAGAGCTTTAGGAAGAGTGGTGGCATCTCACCTCACTTCTGGGTGGAAAGTGTAGGAAATGAGCTGAGACTTAAAGAGCTAGGAGAAACTTGTCATGTGTTCTTTTGAACACTACTGTGTGAATCGGCAGCACACAGGCTCAGCACGTAGGCAAGAGTCCTTGCCAGAACTCTTGGCAAGGAAGAACATGGTGAGGGAGCTAAGAGTGTGGAGGGTCACCAAGCAGCCCAGGGGACATTTGAGCCCTCAAAACCCCAGCCTCTTAGCCTTGGACCACACTTGTAGTCACTTGCTTTGGAGCCTCCTTGCCTTCCCTGGGGTCTTAGAAGGGTCTTCTTGTGGGTCACCCTAGGAGGGAACTGAGAAGTCGAGGGGTAGGAGGTAACCCGATCCTAAAAGCTGGAGCTCTGTGACCAGTACTGACAGGGGTATCATGCATCAGGGACAGTCTTGGTCTCCAGGCCTGGAGCCCCACCCCACTGAACTGGACTCCTGCTTTACCCTGCCAACCACCTAGCTCAATGACACCACCTTCGTGGGTCTTCTTGGCCTCAAAATTATTCTCTCTGATTTTTGCCTGTGTAGGGAGACCAGCAGCTGTTGATGAGTCTAAGCCCAGGACCTGCCCTGCAGGGCACCACAGTAAGATAGATGCAGAGACAGGGAGAGGGGGCTGGTGGCACCTGGGGATTTCAGGACTGACCCCAAGTCGTCCCATAACCAGGCAACACCACCGCTTATCATAAAAGCTCTGCGCCAGGTTCTGGATCTGAGTATTGCAGGTGGAGGCGGGAAGGGTTGAAACCCCACCCCAGAGTATAGGATGGCATAGAGTTGGTTAGCACAGGGGGTGGAACCGGGTGCTCAAGACAGTCCCGAAGGGCGGCACCTGGGCGAGGCCGAGAGCACTCCCAAGTCCTGACGCTGGCGGGGGGAGTTGGGGCTCAAAAGAGCTCCCAGACCCTTTTCCGGAGTATTCAGCTTTGGAGCAGGTGGCCTCTCATGCAAATGTCACAGGGGGGGGGGCCACAGCTAGTGTGGTACGACCTCTAAGGGCGTCCATGGCTACTGCCACGCGCCGGCTCGTTGGTCTAGGGGTATGATTCTCGCTTCGGGTGCGAGAGGTCCCGGGTTCAAATCCCGGACGAGCCCGATGCTTAAGGTTGTTTTTTTTTTTTTTTTTTTTTTGGCTGACCTTCAGCCCAAGGTGTGTGTTACAAGAAACAGCACAGCGAGAAGCTGCACTGGAAAGTGGTCAGTGTCAACTGGTGTGCAATGAGCAATTATGTTCTGCGTGGACACCCGATGGCAGGAAGAAGTCCTGCCTGGCGTGCAAGGGAACACGGAGGTGCGTCCATACTTGGGCAAGACGCTCACTTTCTGATCCCCGCCTTCCTGCTCGGGGCCTTGCGACAGCCACCAGACCCTGGTTTCCGATGGCGCTTGGAGAGCTGGAGACGTCAGAACTCGGGTCTCTGCAGCCTTGGAGGCTGTCTGTGTCTTTCAGTCAGTCACTCCTGGTCATTTTCGCCTCTCTGGAGACTGGCGCTCAGAGACGGTCTATAAGGCGCAAGATCCCCGCAGTCACCACGCAGAGCACCGATATCTCAGATCAGCGATTCAGAGAAAGTACGTGTCAGCCTGTTCCTCGTTAGTATAGTGGTGAGTATCCCCGCCTGTCACGCGGGAGACCGGGGTTCGATTCCCCGACGGGGAGGTACTAATAACTTTTTTTAAGGTTTACAGCTTTGTTTTATAATGTCCATTAACTCTATCTATTTATTTGATTTTTAAGAGCCCGTCTGGGCCCAGAGGAGACACAAAAGCCGAAAGGAATAAAAGGGAGAGAGAAGTTTGTCCTGGCTCTGGAGGTCATATTCAAACGTCTGGTTACACTAGCCGTTCAATATGTGTGTGTATTAGACGTGTTCGTGGACGGTCACTTAGAAAACACAGATAGGCAAACGGCACAAAACTGCCTCCGTAATGCACGGTCAGGTTCGACCCCCTACGCTAGCTTCCCCAGAACACAGAGGACTTGCAGTTGCACCTGGAAATCCCTGGGGCCGATGATGCTAACTCGATTTCCTGGGGCCTCCCGGCCTCCCGCACAGTGGCCAGCGCTGACTCCGCAGTTCCCGCGGACGTTACCTTCTCGCCGGGGAAGGCGTGCAGAGCGCCGGTGTCAGTAGCAAAGTCTCGGGCGAAGTGGAGAGCGCGCCCAGTTCCCCATCATAAACCTCCATGCACTAGGTTGGGGCCAAGGGAACAAAAAACGAAAGAATGAAAAGGTAAACACCCAGCTGCGTTGGCCGGGAATCGAACCCGGGTCAACTGCTTGGAAGGCAGCTATGCTCACCACTATACCACCAACGCCCGCTGGAGAATACGGTTTTTTAGAGTCACTCAAATACACACGCGCGCTCCAGTAGCTGTGAGTCGGGTTGAACGGCTGGAGCGTGAGCAATGGCTGCTACCCTGCGCGGGGCGTGCACATGTGAACGGAACTGGGCTCCTGTTGTCGATAGTGCGCGCCACTTACCCCGCGTGACGATATGGGGTTTTACCCACTCTAGGGTCCAGGGAAGCTGTATAAGTACATTTTCTGGACAGAACTGGGATTAGGTGTAAAACTGGTTTAGGAGTCGAGGGCTGCAGTGACACCGTGATGACACCCTCTCCAGCAAAAAGGCCCAGACGTACAGAAATCTCTTCCCTGAGTAAGCTCAATGAGTCCCAAGTTAAAGAATCGGGCCTGATGCCAAGTGCACTAAACACAGTTCGTTTCTGCCGGGTAATGTGGATTGGCT